TGCAGCAAGCGTTCCCAATCACAACCCTGGCACACCAAGCTGACCCGATATCTCCAAATATGTTCCAGAACTGCTGAACGCTGTTGGAGAAAGTCTCACTCTGCACCTGACTTTATACTATGAATTTATGCTGTGCTCCTACACTCTGGCTCTTTCCTCTGCTAAAGTAAATTACTTCAACACCATCATAAGCACACTGTCCCGCCAACCCAAATGCCTATTTCGCACTTTTAATGCTCTTCTTCGCCCTGTTGCTCCCCCTCCTCCTACCACCCTGTCCGCCTCAAACTTTGCAACTCACTTCACTGAGAAGATTTCTACAATCTGGGAAGAGATCTCCCAATACATCACCCAACCCCACTCACTCCACTGCTCTATGCTCATTCGCACCTACTACAACAGAAGAGGTTTCCGCTCTGCTCCGGACCTCCCGCCACACCACCTGTTCCCTTAATTCTATTCCCTCATATCTCATCTGCACCCTGTCTCCCTCTCTTGCTCTTAGTCTCACTAAAATTTTCAATCTCTCCCTTTCCTCCGGCACATTTACTTTACCCTTCAAGCATGCAACCACAATACCAATTCTGAAAAAGCCCAACGTCGACCCAAACTCCCCATCCAACTACCACCCTATATCGTTAGTGCCGTTTGCCTCCAAGAGAGAGTTGTGTATGCGAGATTGACAGACTTCCTCGAATCTAACTCTCTGCTTGACCCGCTTCAGTCTGGATTCCGCACTCGTCACTCGTTGAAACAGCTGTGACCAAAGTATCCAACGTTTTAATCTTTGCTAAATCTCGCAGCCGTTACTCTATTCTAATTCTCCTTGATCTTTCTGCTGCCTTTGACACTGTTGATCAACAGCTTCTTCTCATTCTCCACAATCTCAGTCTACGAGATACTGCTCTCTCCTGGTGCTCCTCCTATCTCTCCCAGTGCTTTTTCAGTGTTTCTTTCTCTGGCTCTGTTTCTTCTCCCCAAATCCTCTCTGTTGGTGTCCCCCAAGGTTCAGTCCTTGGTCCCCTACTGTTCTCCATCTATACTGCCTTCCTTGGTAAACTCATTAACTCCTTTGGCTTCCATTATATGCAGATGACACGCAAATCTACATGTCCTCTCCTGATCTCTCTCTGCCCATCTTGACTCGTGTCTCTGACTGCCTCTCTGCGATTTCCAATTGGATGGCTGCTCACTTCCTTAAACTCAACCTGTCCAAAACAGAACTTCTGTTCTTTCCTCCCTTAAGTGTTGCTACTCCCGTGTCTCCCTGTCAGGATTACAGTATGATCCAGCACATAGAATTGTGTAACAAAGGAGACTTACCGGGCCTTAGAATGGCCGGACTTACATACCGAAGGATAGTCAGAGTAATAGTCGAGGTCAGGGGTCACAGAAAGAGACACAACGATAAAGGAAAGCCAGAGGTCAGGGATACCAGAAAACAGGGAAGTCAAAATCAAAGCCAAAGTCAAAAACCAGAATAACTAGAATAAGGAACGCGATCTCGGACAACCACTAGGGAAACCACGACAAGGCAATGAGGAAAGGTAATTCTAGGCTTTTATACCTGCTTTACCTTTCTGATTGGCCGTGATCGCTCTTTGACCCCAAAACGTGTGTGCGCGACGTCACATGCATGCCGACGTCGTTAGTTACGTGAGCGAGTGTGGGGGTATAATTAACCCTGGATCCACAGCAGCTGGCGTCCATTAACATGCCGCAAGTGTCATTCATGCAGATGCACGGCCGCTGACCGTAAGGTGAGGATGAATATGTTACACTCCCTCCCTCCAAATCAACGGTGCCACCATCACCTCTACCTCGCAGGCTCGCTGCCTCTGTGTTCTTTTTGACTCCGACCTCTCTTTCACCCCTCATCTCCAGTCGAACGCCAAATCCTGCCGCATCCATCTCAAAAACATAGCTCGCATCCGCCCCTATTTAACACCAGACGCGGCGTTCAAAAAATCTTTGAAAACATACTTCTTCAGGAAAGCATATCATTTAAACTGTTAGCGGATTTTCACTACCCCCCACCCCCATGCCTCCTCTCCTGCAACTGTCAAAAATAACCTACTAATTTCCAAGTGAATACTTTTCTACCAACCTATTTTATTACCCCTACTTATACACTTTGTGTCACTATACCCCACTCCCTCTAGCATGTAAGCTCATTGAGCAGGGCCCTCAACCCCCTCTGTTCCTGTCCGTCCGTTTGTTTGGTTACAATTACGTGTCTGTTAGCCCACCCATTGTACAGCGCTACAGAATTTTGCTGGTGCTATATAAATAATAAAATAATATTAATACATAATAACATATTTTATATTTTGTATGCACTGTAACTATTTTTTGTCCAGAATAAATGTTCCTTTATGAAGTTCTACCTTTGTCTGGTATAAAAAGCATAGATTTGTACGGAATTGAAATGTGCAGTGTGCGGAGGGATTTAAAGAGCCGCCAGTAATGTGCAGGGTTTTATTGGGAGTAGGTAAAATACCTTTTAAGAGCGACTGGAGGAAAAGAAAGACAAAAATAAATACATTGATATGCCTCACACAATAGAAATATTATATTTTAGAAATCAGATGATTATATGATGCATCATATCCATCACAAATGTATATGTATCAGACATATACAAACACATTCAGATTCATAGAATTCTGAACTTTACATACAAATATGTCAGGGTGTGATACACACGGTTATACACTAACCACACAGTTGTAGCAAATTGAAATCTGAATTGCAGTAGTGAGGCTAAATTAGCCAAGCTGTGACTAAAATTAAAGGGAAAATATAGTCACCAGAACAACTACAGCTTATTGTAGTTGTTCTGCTGAGTATAATCATTCTCTGCACGCTTTTTGCAGTAAACACTGTCTTTTCAGAGAAAATGCAGTGTTTACATTACAGCCTAGGGATAACTCCATTGGTCACTCCTCAGATGGCTAGTAGAGGTGCTTCCTGGGGCAGTGCTGCACAATGCATAGCTATGTCATTCAGTGTATCCACCTTCTACATGCAGCTGTTGATTGGCCAGGTCTGTGTTTGGCTTGTGCTGACTCTGCCCCTGATCTGCCTCCAGTCTTAGCCTATGGAAAAGCATTGTGATTGGCTCGGAATAACATTCCTGATGATGTCAGCCAAGCAGGCAAATCAGGGGCAAAGGCAACAAAAGCAAGATTTTACTATATTTAGGGGGGCAAGCGGAGCCAGATGGTGAATTTAACATTATAGTGTCAGGAATACATGTTCTATAGTGTTTTGTAGTATATTAAATGCTATAGCACCCTATAACCATCTTGGAGCTTCTTTTTGGCGCTCACCAGATTTCTCATCCTCTGCCCTCTTCATGTCACTGGTCACGTGGGGTTCCCTTCACATTGCCATGACTATTGGACCTAATGAGGATTGCAATACACTTGTACATTGCCTTCGTAATCCCGTGAGACCAAGCACTCTGAGAAGGTATCTTTAAGCTGTGGGGAGCAAGTATAGTGCTTGAAATTCAATGGCAGAGTTGACAAATTAAGTGAAGTTTGACTGAAGCACCTCCTTTCGTCAACAAGACATTTATACATAAGAAACGTAGTCGCTGTTCTGCGCTAACCAGCATCTCTATAGAAAAAGTTCAGCATGTCCTTGCGGAAAGTGGAAATGCAGCACTGACCCAGGAAGCAACTCTAATGGCTATTTGAAAGACTGCCGCGAGAGGTGTAACTAGCCAACAATGTAAACACTGCCAGAAGCACTACATTAAGCTGTATTGGTTTTGGTGACTATAGTGTCCCTTTAACCCACCACTGACCTCTGCTGCATTACACACCTGTTAAAGAGACACTCCAGGCACCAAAATAACTTCATCTAAATTATAATTGTATTGGTGGCCCCTGGAGGCACTCTAACCCCTTAAATTGCCTCTAGCGCTGGTCTCCTCTCCTTCCCTGGCGGCTTTCAGCTTCTGAATTTTAGGATTCAGTAAGCGCAGAGTACCTTTTGCAATCCAGCTTCGTGAATGGGGGATCACTAATTGCTAAGAGCGTCAGCTGACTGTTCGCAACCAATCAGCGGTGTTCCTGCCCGGCGGCACTCCGTGCTTCCTGAATCTTATAATTCTGAAGCCGGAAAGCTGCCAGGGGAGAAGAGACCAGCGATTGAGGCAACTTAGGGGGTTAAACTGTTCAAGACTGTCTCCAGGGGCCTCCTGGCACCAAAACAACTTAATTTTTGGAGAGTTCTTTTATGCGCTTCATATGCTTTTTGTTTCTAATTTCTGTGATAGTAACGTCCAATGTGATACATACATTTATAGTTACAACGTTTGGAACAACTGTAGCAGGTTGTCAAAATGATCTCATTATAAAGAACTATAGCGGTGCAAAACTTTAAAAAGTGGAGCAGTTTCTATGGTGATTTCACCACTCTTAGAATGTTTACAGTCCATCTCTCAAGGTGTATTAAAAACAATGGGTCTAGCACCGGGGTTTACATAACACACCAACCAGACACACTTGTCATAGCAGCCAACCCATAGACATGTTTACCAAATCGCTTCTTATTCTATTCCACTACCCAAAATGTGACAACATTGAACAGACTTATCTTAGAAGTTCACCAAAAAAAAGTTTTGGACTTCAGACTCCAGTGGTTGCGTTAACCTCTTCATGACAAATGATTTGCCCAGACTGACTCGTTATAAACCCCCACACCCTGTTACAAAGGGGTTAATTTCTACAGCTGTGCTGTCTATATTTGTTTGCCTGTAACCCCAGACCTCATGGCAATCCAGACAGACACACACACACCAGGCAGTCACAAAGGGAAGGAAAAGGGGAGGCAGCTAGCAGCAAGCATTGCCACAGCTGTGCAAGTTAGCATGCTTCTATCTCTGTATCCAGCAAACCAATGGGGCCTGGAGGGTGTGGATTGTATGGGAGGCTGGCCATTGCTTCCCTGAATGCAGCTGCAGCTTGGGAGGTCCTTCTCACTGCCTCCTCTCTTTCTTTTTTCCTCTGCTCATTTACTAAGCATGGACTTTTTTTTTTTTTTGCAATTATACAGCTGCTGTGTGAACCTGGTCACGCATGCGTGGGGCACTATCTAAAAATGAACATCCAATTCAATGCCATGTAATGGGGAGGAATGATGTGTGCCGGTGTTATTATCCCTCCGCCTGGACTGGTGCTGAGAGGAGAGCACATCTAGGAGAGCAGCATGAAGCGGCTGTTGCACAGGGAGTGGGCTGCTGCAGCTGTCCTGTCTCTCTGATCCTGATCCTGATCTTCCTGGAAAAGATGGGTCTGTAGGAGCTCAGAGCCCCCAGGTCAGTGCCTCCTCTCTGGCTATAAAACAGCTGTATGTGTTACCTCCCGTCCATGTTCATGGGAGATCCAGGGCTGATTATAGATTTTAACGCCCCCTCCTTAACCCTTTCCTGTAGATATCGATGCACTAGTGAGTGTCTGAATAGCAATTTAAGGGTTAACGTTCTAAACCTGGAACCCTCAGCAAGACTGTTCCATTGGTTTCCATGGTGACTGCTCCCCATTTAGCACTTTGACCCACACTTGCTTTCGATACTTATGGCCCTTTGCTGGCCCTCCATGCCAATTCATTGCTAAATCACTGTATTCTGCAATGATGCACGTCTTATTTACTGTAAATCTTAGATGTGCTTGTTTATAATTTGTATAAACTAGGAATTTATATATATATATATATATATATATATATATATATATATATATATTTTTTTTTTTTTTTGTGTTTTTATCTTATTTAATAATACTGTGCATGGTCATATTACAGCAATGTACTGTACTCTGATTTCACCCCTGAGCTCCACAGTGGGTGGGCTTGTTGCTAATTTTAGTTGTCTCTAATCCATTACCATACAGTAGCTTGGCAGTGCCATACCTATTGCTTTTGGATTGGGATATAATGCATCCACATTGATCACATATGATTAATGCTCACAGTTTGCAGTGCCTTCTCTAGAATTTGTTCACTAAACAGCAAATTGGGATAAAAATGAATTGGAGAATGTTGACTTGAATTTAATAATTTCAGTTAACTGTTTAGTTATGAGTTATGCAGCTGTGATTTCTTGGACCACTGGTGTGAAGTGGGCATCTCCTGCAAATAGGATGCTACAGGTCCATTTCTATACACCCACACAGTGTGGGTGCAGTGACTTGGCTTCAGTCTTCAGGCTTTGCTGCATATTTTGGTACAGCTGGTTACATCTTGTGAAGTCTTGTGTTCACCCACATCATCTAGGTTGTGCAGAACTGCAAGGCGAGAGAATTGGAGATTGGCACTATCAGATGGGTAAAACCGTGGGAGACAGATTTTCTTGACAGACTAGGCCATTGATGGTGCAGGCAGGGGGAAATCAATTAATGAAAGGTCAGGAGATAAAATGTTTGTAGGTATAAAGGGTATATTTTTGGCTCTGTACATGTCATAACATGCATAGCACAGAGTGAGGGTAGCTTGGCTAGATATAAAAAAAATAAAATAAAAATAAGCAAATACATGGCAGAGGTGCCTTAGAAAGGGCATTAAGCAGAAAAGAATGAAACCTGTAAAATATAATGATATTCAGTAGAAAATTATTTAGCACTATTTGTTATAATTTACATGGATTGTGTATAAAAATACCTTACATCAGCCATTTCCAATGTGTAAGGTTTTGCTTGGATATTGGCCTTCCTCTATCGTGTTAGAAATTGTGTGTGTCTTAAAGTATGTGTGAAATAGAGGGGGATATAAATATGTGTGTGATTATATATATATATATATATATATATATATATATATATATATATATATATATATATATATATATATATTTTTTTTTTTTTTTTTTACACCCTTGACTGCCAAAGTAAAATCATCATACATGTCCCACACAAAACTCAATCAGTTAATAACCGCTACACTTGATAGACTATTTTACATACCTCCATTGGCATGTAACCTACATGGAGAAATGGCACGTTTGTTTACATTAAACATTATGCGATCTTGGGAAACCTGTAAACTGCATTAGTGGGCTTTGACTGTACCGTCTTGATACCTGTTTATGTGGGAATGTTATTGTTGAGTTATCCCTAAGTTCCATTGGGTCTAGTTACAACTGAGTATTCTGCCAACGGACATGTTAAATGTCTGTAAATATTACGATCATGTGAATTTATAGGGAATTCCAACCATCCTAGGATGCATTTGTGTCTCTAGGAGACATAATTGTCCTACATTTAACTGGTCAAAATACATTTCATCTGTATCCATTTTAACTGTCTTGGAAAATCCGTTATTCTTTGTTGTACAATTGCACTAATTATTTTTATGAAGCATAGCCATTAATAATATGTTTTCAGAAGATATTTCTATTTCGTTGTACTCTTTGTCCTTAAAGCTGGATGCAACAGGGTTGTTCACTAAAGTGAGAATTAAAAGTGTTCTGCTGCCAGTTCTGCTACTTGGGCCCATAATTTTGAAATTTTCTTTGAATTCTTACCATAGTAAATAACCCTGCATGTACTGGATAGATCACTAAAATCTGTATTATTAAGAGCATTTAGTACTGCGATATACTAACATTTGCCATTAAGAGAAATTTATATTTTTGTTAATGTTTGAGTCTACTTACAGACTGAACAATGTAAATATATTCTTCATAATTAACATATTACCAAAATGCAGGGGATAAACATTGTGGGTCTTTTAAATGCAAGCATCTGGATGTAACTCTTTAGTGGCTCATGAAAATATTTCATAAATATTCTGTAAGTCTGCTATGCTGCCAGTTCGGCTACTTTGGACCAAAATTTTCAATTTACTTTGAATTCTTTTTTTTTAGTAAAACAAACCCTGAATGTACTGGATAGATCACTAAAACCACTAGTAATTGGAGCATTGACTATTGTGATATACTAACTTTGTCATTAAAGGAACACTATAGGGCCATAGATACAAAGCTTTATTCCTGACCCTATAGTGTTAAAACACTACTTAGGTGTCCGGCTCCCCTTACCCCCTTAAAAAAAAAAAAAAAAAAGCTTTAAACTTACCATTTACAAGTGCTGAGTGAGTCCGCCCACTCTCAGCCAATTCAATGATTTCCCATAGGAGAGCATTTGGAGGCTAATATGCATGCTCGGCAAAACGCAGCACTGCGCCAATCAGCATCTCCTCAAAGAGCAGGGAGATGCTGAATTTCAGTTTTGCACATTGTGCAGCACTGGCCAAGGAAGCACCTCTAGTGGCCATGTGATCTACCTACAGATAGATGTTGGAAAATCTACCTTGGGCACATAGAGTCCATGAATCAGGTTGCCACAAATATCCTTGACATGCAAATGAGCACAGATAGACAATGCGTTTCAGACTTCACCCTGCATTTCCGCAGGTACCCTTAGTAGCGGGACGCTGTTTTAGACAGCCTTTTTTTAACCAGAGCATTGGGTTGTGATCCAAAAGGACCAGTGCCAAGAAACCAGCCATGGAATGTACATTTACAACCTTTGTGGTATTTAAAATTACTCTTACCACTTCTACATTGCTCCTGGAGGCAAAGCCCAACTTTAGCTCCTCCCCCGCCGTACATTTTTACACATACTATACAGCAATAAAAAACAATTTTTTTACGGCATCTCGTTGTGCAGATTTGAGAATGTCTGTGTGTCTGAAAAATTTCACAATTTTGGGGAATTTTCACAGACCACCATTTAGAACCCTTAGAGAGTACTGGTGATGTTAGCTCCTGGCAGTTAAAACATGGCAACAAAGAGGAAAGAATTTCAGGTGGGTATATGACATTCCTCCTTCTCCCATCAGGTGCCACAGTATAAGCAAATATGTTACTTCAGGGTTTCTAATTAAAGAGACACCCAGACCACCTCAGCTCATTTAAGTGGTCAGGGTGCAAACTCCCATCACCCTTAAGCCTGAGCATGTACTTATTGCAGTTTTTATAAACTGAAATAATTACCTGCTATGGTTAACTTCTTGTCTAGTTGCTGTCTACCAGACAGCCACTAGAGGGACTTCCGGGTGGATAGGCGACTTTTGGTCGCCTAGTCGACGCTGGACGTCACTGGGATCGAATAATGCTTTCTTATGGGGAAATTCCAATGAGAGTGCAGCCATTGCTGCGCATGCGCGTCACGGCAGCCGGCGGGGGAGGGGCGTAGGTGGAGCTGAGCCAATGCAGAGGGATATTGGCGCCTGACCAAGGTAAGTGCCAAGGCACCACGGGTGGGGCCTTGACAGAAGGGGAAGCTATAGTGCCAGGAAAACGACTTTGTTTTCCTGGCACTATAGTTTCCCTTTAAGGAAAAGGTGCTTTGCCTTTTGTTACATATTTGATTCTGTGGCTTTTTAGACTGTTATTAACCCCTTTATCATAGTTGAATTGCTATCTGTCAAAGTAAAGGATTACTCCAGGTCTTTTTATTGAATACTTTTATTTTAATTTGGTATGTTTTTTATTGGTAATTAGATCTGTCCCCCGTTATGAAGTTAAAAATATAAACTTACCTGAAATCCAGCACCGGGCTCAGCTCCTCGCAATGGTTGCCAAACCCCTTCTGCTTTCACTGTCTCCCCTGTGAGGTCATAGAGAAACATTTGATTGGGCTGTTTTACAGACTCGAAGAGCATGCACTTCAATATGTAACTATTGCATTAGCTCCGATCTGAGCCAGTCATGGAAGGGAGTGTGGGTAGACAGATGATGACAACAGGGAGCGCTGACAACAGACTACATTTTTGCACAGAATTGACATTAGGCAGCCCAGAACAGAGTTCCTGGTTGCCTGATTCAGGAGTGGGAGTTGCGACTATCCGCCGGCACAAACTTTCAAATACCCCCGACTGTAACTCTCTACATACAGAGTAACCCTTTATAGGAAGCCATTCACCACCCTGCACTAGTTGAGCGTATATGATTAACCGGAGCAATGCACAAAAATGCATAATGATAACACCCATATGACTGGAATGCTATTAGTCTCCCCTATGACCTGCATTTTTTGTGAAATATTTTCAATAAAGTTAACTCTTTTTTTACCACATTTATGAATGTCTCACCTATACTGAATTTAAATGATTTGTATAGTCCAGTAATAATTTCAGACACATCAGCTTTATTTATCACTTCTCTGGTTTCATTCTGTAGAAAATACATTACAGAAAAGGTACATTTTATACAACAAATTTCTAGGCTCTGCTCCTTGTGCAGTATCTTTCGCATCAAATATTTTCTCTCTGCTCTTGCAGTTTTCTATGAGAGAGCTTTAGTTTTCCCCGATATTTCTATAGGTAAATCAATAATAAAGCATGTGGATAGACATACTAAGGGCATCAAAATACTGACTGACATTTAATCTAATTGTAGACGTTTACTAAGTGCACAAATATATATTCACATTTTAGAATTGTTTTAGCATGTGTGATTACCATGCGTTAAAAACACACTGTAATGGGTTCTTGAAACCTGTAATTTTGTGCAAGTGGTATTTACCATGTGTAATTGTATTGACTTTTAATCAAATTTACACGATTACTATTGTTATACTGCTTTTGGACAGTTAAAGGGAAACTTTTAAGCACCAAATCCCTACATCCTTAACGTAGTGGTTTTGGTGCAAATATCCTGTCCATGTATCTTCTCCATAACTCCCAACATTTATACTACGCAAATACAGATTGTGCCACAAAGGGGTCTTGCCAACTAGCAATATCCATGATGGGTGCTACTGAAACACTTCCTGCAGGGTTCAAGTGCCTCAATGATGCCCTCATGCTTTGCTGCTCTGGGACAGTTCCCCAAATGAGGAATGCCAGGGAACTATGGCAGGACAGAACCCTGAAATCAGGACTGTCCTGCTGAAAGGCCCACTTCTCCTTTTGTAAACATTGCATTTTCTGTGAAGTTTTCGTTGCTCGTGAATAACACCTCCAGAGGTTGTCACTTAGACAGCCACTAGAGGAGCAATCCTTTTAGTTCTTGGCATACTTACCCAGCATAAAGATGCTGAATGCTCCTCATGATAGATGCATTATGAGGAGATGCTGATTGGTGCAGCTTAGTGATTGCTGCACATGCACAGCAGGGCCATAACTTCTTCTCTATGGAGGGTCTTTGGACTGGCCCACAGATCATCCTCGTGATGATCTAAAAAAAAAGTAGGAGCAACAGCCGCAGTGAGGCCTAAACTGTGAGTAAAACATATAAATTTTTACTTTTACCGAGGAGGTGGGTGCCACTAAATCTAAATCAGGAACAAACTTTAATGCGAGAAATTCACCTTAAACTCCCTTTAAGTTGAAAATAAAGGAAATTCGAAATAATTAGTAATTTTCTTTTCACATACCATTCATTGTTACTTTTTCAGTTGTGGTTGATTAGTACGTGACCCTCATGACTGCTAAATAGGGAAACTGGAAACTAAATGGATTAGCTAACTTTTACATTTGCTTTTACTCATAATATGTATTTCTGTAAATAAACAGTGCATTTTTTACATGGCTCACTTTAAATGGCTGCAATTATCTTCATAATGGTTTATTTGTGTTAAAATAATTTGTATTACTGAGATGTTAGAATAGAACCCTTATCTGAATCTTCACAAGTAGACCTGTACATTTTGGTTTTGGCTGAATCATGATTCATCCGAATTTTGGGTGATTGGCAATACATCTGAAATTGAGAAGCACAAATCAGTCAGTGGATGTATCACAAAACAAATGGAACGGCCAATGGAAAATTTACAAATCTCAATTGTTACTAGCAGCCAGTGGGCAAATAGTAAAAAAACAACAACAAGCAAACCAAAAAAAAAACAACCTTGCCAGTGGAAGGGTTAATCATGTGATAGCTGGCCATTACTTACTAGTCCGTTTCCACATTAAAAAGTTAATAAATAAAAGTAAAACTAAAAACACAGCCTATGGAGGTCAGTAGGCCATCCACATTACTACCCCCTCCCCGAAACCTGCCATGACATTTAGGTACAACAATATATATTTTTTTAAATCTTTTTATTGTTTTCAACAAAGGTAAGAATTAAAGGAGGTAGAGAAGAGAAATGGGATGCACACAAGTATAACAGTGAGGATCGGTAATCTTCTGTCACAGTAGTATACCCCAACACGCAAGAATAGTCCAACGAGAGACAAGCTAACAAGATACGTCTTACTGGGCCTTAGAATGGCCGGACTCGACGTGGACAGGAAAAGAGAGTCAAGAACAAGCCGAGGTCAAGGGAACAGAGAGACAGCGTAAACAAGAACTATCCAAGGACTGGTACACAGCAGTTAAGAAACCGGCGAACAAGAGAAAAACTGAGTCAGGTACAAAGCCAAGGTCAAGCATGAAAAAACCACTACTTCATGAATCAAGCACTAAAGGGAACTGAATCAGAAACCACGATAGGGCAGGGAGCTAAGGGAAAGGTGAGTATAAATACCTATTAGTTTAATTTGATTGGCCCCTGTCATATCCACGCCCCCAAAACGTGAGTGTATGGGGCATGTGGAATGACAAGGGCTAATGGGAGACCTTTTTTTATTTTTGGCTCCCACTGTCCCGTTAAAAGCGCGCCGGATACGTGCGGCGCGCTCCCAGTGCCAGGCGAGTCTCGTGGCTGCTTCTCGCGGTCAGTGCACGTCTTCCTGATCTCCCCATCGGACAAGCCGCGTGCCGCAGGACCATGTGCGGCGGGGAAAGAGGACCTCGTCCGGCCCCTGGAGAGGGTAAGTACCGCTGCACATTCCATACGACGGTTAAACTTTACATTGCATTCCGTATTACCGTGTCGTGGTACCAGTGTTGCGCTTGTGGTATATGGTTCTGGGTAGGTGTGCCGGAATAGTTAGGTATTAGGGAAAGGTGGGGGGTGGGGTGTCCTGCTACATTCCGAATCACTTAGAGTTCAGCGGGGTCATTAAGTCATGTCTCGTGGCTATGTACCGTATTCTTAGGTTCCCTACAGGTGGGTGACCTAGGGTGATATTCCCTATGTGGGGGTTTTCCAGAATTTGAGCCATGGGTCCCAGGTTTTGAGATATCTGTCCCTCTTCCCCAGAGTTGACCAATGTATCTCTTCCAGTTCCCTTATCCTTTCCACCCATTGTTCCCTAGATGGTATGTTGATTTGTCGCCAGAACATTGGGATCAGGGCATTGGCTTCCCCTACGAGTATGTTCAGGAGTTGCTGTTTGGATGTTTCTTGGAATGATCGGGGCCATCCCAATAGCACCTGGGAAGGGGATAGCTGTGATTTCAGAAGCATTATGTTTGCAATGTCTGCTAATTTTGTGTCCAGTATGTTCCTACATCCCCACCAGATGTGCTTCACCGCATCTCCAGCATGTGTCGCTGACTGTGGGCCAGTAAGAGTGAAGCTGTTCTGGTGTTCTATACCATCTAGTGGCCCTCTTGTAGAAGGTCTCTTTGCGAGCTATGCTCATCTGGGTTTTAATCTCTGAGATCATAATGTGTGACCATTCCTCGTTGGTCATGTGAATGCGGAGTCCTCTCATCCATTTGCGTTGCAATGGAGGTCTGGGTTTATCTCCCGTTTCCGGGAGAATGCGGTATATGGCCGACAAGGGTCGTCTGGTTTTGTTTCCCTTTGTTCCACAGCAGTTCAAATGGTGTTTTGTCTCTTGTGCGCCAGACCGGGAAAACCGAATGGGTCAGAAAGTTGGTCAGTTGTGCCCTACTCATAATGTCTAGGAGCGTCTCCTGTCTATTAATTTTGGGGAAGGCTTTTAATTTGGGTGGGATGTCCTCCGTTGTGATTTCCGCAATGGTAGGATTGGGGGTTCCAAACATTTGGGCCAGTATGGTGTTACCTTGTCTATTTTGGAAGTCTGCGTTATCTGCTATTGGGAAGTACGGAGATAGTCCTGAGGACAATCCCCACTCCTCCCTGTGCCTTCTCCAGATTTGAAGTATGTTGTGTATGAATGGGTGGTGTGTGGGGGATAGTTTTTTAAGTTGGCATGTCTGCCAGGGTAGTGTGTGGAGGGGCACTGTTGCGAAGTTCTGTTCCAGCTCATACCAGAACTTTTTCTTAACCGAATCTGTCCATTCCTTGATGCATGTAAGTAGAACCGTGACATAGTACTTGTATAAGCGGGGGAGTCCCAGCCCCCCCCATCCCAGGTGTGGATGTTAAAGTGGAATAAGCTAATCTCGCAGGTTTGTGTCCCCATGTGTAGTTCATAAGTATGGATCTCATGCTTTCGAAGAATTCTCCCGGGAGAGGGACAGATAGGGCTTGAAATAAGTACAGCACCTTTGGTAGGACCATCATCTTTATTATATTAACTTGGCCCATAAGGGAGAAATGGGGTAGGTCCCATTTTTTGAGATCCTGACTAATGTTGTCTGCGAGGAGTGGGTAGTTCTGTGTGTATAAGCCTTTGGGTGTGGAGGTTAGGCGAATCCCTAGGTATGTTAGCCCTGTTTTTGTCCAAGTGCATTCGTGGAGCTGTCGGATGCGGGTCTGTAATGTGGGGGGAATGGAGATCCCAGGATCTTGCATTTTTCAGTGTTAATTTTGAAGTTTGATAAGGCCCCAAATGTCTCTCTATTTCTGCCTGTACGTGAGGGAGTGTGTGGAGTGGGTCTGTGATGGTGAAGAGAACGTCGTTCCGCGAATGCGGAGACTCTCACCTCACTCCAAGGGTGTTGATAGCCTCTGATTTTAGGATTGCTTCGGACAGCTGTCAGAAATGGCTCTTCTGCCAGGACAAATAAGAGGGGTGATAATGGGCAACCTTGCCGAGTTCCATTGCTTATTTGAAAGGGGGCAGATAAGTGGCCGTTTACTCGAACGGTGGCTGTAGGTCCCCTATACAGTGTGTGTATCCAATTCCTGAGTTTCGGGACGTTTCCTAGACCTTCTAACACTCTAAATAGATTGGTCCAATCCACCCTATTGAAGGCTTTTTCTGCATCTATGCCCAGCAGTAATGTCTGTGTTTTAGTTGTGTTCGCTCTATGTATGATATTTATTATTCTCGTAGTATTGTCCCTGGCCTCGCGGCCAGGCACAAAGCCTGCCTGGTCAGGCTGGATCAGATCTGGCAATAGGGGTTTAATGTGATTGGCGATTAGTTTGGCTATTAATTTTAGGTCTAGATTGATAAGGGATATGGGCCTATAGCTGCCACACGCCTCAGGGTCCTTCCCCGATTTGGAAATAATGGTAATTGATGCTCGCAGCATTGGGGGAGGTAAGGGGGAGTCCTGTCCCAACCCGTTTACCATACTAAGGAAGTGTGGTTCCAATTCCCCTGCTGGTGTCTGATAGTACCTTGCTGTTAGTCCGTCTGGGCCAGGGATTTTGCCTTTTGGCATTGTTTTAATAGCTAAGGTGAGCTCCCCAGGGGAGACTGGCTCATCCATTGCATGTGCGGATTCGTCCGTGATCTTGGAGGGGAGGTTGGCAGTCAGGTATTCTTGTATGTTGAGGGGGGTTCCCTCAGGGGGTGGGAGATTATAGAGAGTATGGTAGAATTCTCGGAACGCTTCGGCTATATCATTAGTGGTATTACAGTGTTTCCCCTTTCTGTCTTTTATTCTGGCTATAAAGGATTTTTGAAGTTTGGCTTTCAGTGCACGTGCTAGCAGTTTCCCGCTCTTATTACCATGTGTGTTAAAAGAGCTTCTCGTCAATTGGGCCGATCTATGTGCTTTTAGGGACAGAAAGGATCGGAGCTCGATTCTTTTTTTGAAATTTTTTTTGAAATTTTCTTGGGTGGGATTCTGTTTGTGTAGTATTTCCTGCTCATGAATGGCGTCAGATAAGGTGACCTGTTTGTGTGATCGTTCTTTCTAAATTCTAGAGCCCCATTTTATCAGGATTCCTCTAATTACCCCTTTTGTGTGCTTGCCAGACCCACGGGTCTGAGATGTCTGCTGTGGCATTATCTATGAAGTAGTTGCGTATGGTCATCGTCAGGTTCTCAACCACTCTAGGATCGTCCAGAAGGGTCTCATTAAGTCGCCAGTGGGCACTAAGATTGATGGTGCCTTGTAGTGTTATGGTCAAAAATATTGGGTCGTGATCAGACCATGTGATGTTGCCAATGGATGTGTCTTTTAGCATTGAGAGATGTCTATGGCTCAGGAGTAACATGTCAATTCTAGAGTAGCTTTTTGCAACTGGGGAATAGTAGGTATAATCCCTGTCTTATGGATGTGTTAGACGCCAGCAGTCTATGAGCTGGTGGGAGTATAGTGCGTTCGCCAGCAAGGTACGCGTCTAGTGTCTGTGGTGTGAAAAGAACTGTCTGTCGAGTGGTCGAGTACCATGTTCCAGTCCCCACCTACAATCACCATCCCCTCAGCAAAGCTCTCCAATTTATTCAGGCACGACCGAGCAAAGGATCCTTGATCTGAGTTCGGTGCATATATGTTGGCGAGTGTAATTAGTGAGCCTTGACATTTCCCCTTAACAAATATAAACCTTCCCCCTGGGTCTGTTTTAATACTGGCATCCGTGAGGGCCGCCTTCGAGGTTATTAATATTGCTACTCCTCTGGATTTGCTCCTACTGTAATTGCTGTAATATGTTTGTTGGATATGCTCAGACCTGAGCTTTAACTGGAAGTCGCCCCTGTAGTGCGTTTCTTGGATATATATGATGTCTGCTCTCTGTCTATCAATCTCCTGTGCCAGTATATTGCGTTTTTTCTGGGGTGTTGAGGCCCTGCACGTTTAGGGACATTATTTTAACGTGTGCCATCTGAGTATGGTTGTTTTTTTTGATGCTGAAGAGAATGGTACTGCTGCAGGACTGTGCAGGCAATAACTGGGGGGGGGGGGATGGGAACAGGGGCAAACAAAAACTATATACAAGGGCATCATATTGGCAGTGAGTTGGCGCTGCACTTGTGGGAGATTCATTCGTGTCCCCAAGTAGTTTACCAAGCACCTCTCTGAGGGGGGGAATGGAGGTCGTTCTGCTATGACAGGACATAAACGGGTTACTTTAATGAATGGATAGCGGGACTGCAGGATCCTTAACGGAATACCCCTGTAGTGGGGCCTATCACAGTGTCCCGTTGGTTGAACCCGGTTCCGGGTTGCCTTAAGACCAATTAATTCGAATTAAGGGTTAGTACGTCTAAATGTGACGGGCTGTGGAAGCCTGGTTGGCATAAGTTCATAGACATTATGTTTGGCAATGACAACATGAATAAAAGGAAACTAAACATGGTAAAATGTGGTTAAGATAGTATAAGCATTATGTGTCCTCAGTATGTGGCTTCTTTAAGACCAATTAGTCTGAACCAAGGGTTTGTACTTTCGAAATGTATGGGCCGTGGGAGCCCAGTTAGCATAAGTTCATAGACATTATGTTTGGCAATGACAACATGAGCAAACTGAAACTAAATACGTTAAAGTTTGGCTAAGAAAAGAAAAAAAACATAAGCATTATGTTATATGAGGTAATTGAGGTAAAGGATATAAGTGGACTTCAAGGGCAGTACTCAGGCCACCTTGTCTCTAGGCGTATTGGGGGTATCCGTCCCAGCCTGGGTTTGCCGTCTGCGTTTCCTCGGTGTTCTTTGCCATCTGGGTCTTTGCTGCTTCGGTGCGGACGTGCAGCTCGCTAGGCCAGTCCTCCACTTCAGTGTGGGGTAGGCCCAAGGCCTCTTGGAATTCCGGAACGTCCGCCGGAGTGGTGATAGTGTGTGTTCCGTTGTGGGTTGTCACTGTGAGGGCAAACGGAAAGTTCCAACGAAATTTGATCTGTTTCTCCATTAGTGCAGAGGTGATGGGCTTCAGTGCTCGTCTGGCCTGTAGTGTGGAGGGTGAGAGATCCTGGTAGACGGCCACTGGGTGACCTTCAAGCTTTAGGTCTCTGTTTTGCCGTGCCTTGCAAAATCTTTCCTCTTTCAAGGGGAAATTATGGAGGCGGCAAATGAGGTCGCGGGGTCTGTCAGGCGGAGGTTCCTAGGTTCCTAGGCCGTGCTGCTCTGTGCGCCCTGTCAAATTGTCTCGGGGAGTCTGGCGAGAATTAAATTAAAGAGGGTAGTCAGTACCTGAATAGGGTTCTCTGCAGTACCGTCCGGGCTTTCAGTTACTCCTCTGGATTTGCTCCTACCGTAATTGCTGTAATATGTTTGTTGGATATGCTCAGACCTGAGCTTTGACTGGAAGTCGCCCCTGTAGTGCGTTTCTTGGATATATATGATGTCGGCTCTCTGTCTATCAATCCGTCGACCCCTGTTGTCAACGTCGTCTAGTTTCCTTTGGAGGTACAGTTTTGCATCTGCATGTAGATTCTGTGTGGTGTGGAATTCTGACCACAATCGTTCAGTAGTTTCTTCTGTGTCTTCCTGGGCCTGGACTCTCGCTCCCAGGTGTTGGACATCTCAATCACTGCCTGCAGCTTTTCACTGAAAGTGTTTTCCAGTCTCTGGAACATATCAACGAGATCCTTCGTCGAGGGCAGTTGTGTGAGTATCGTTCTCATGTCAGTGTCCTCAACTGAGCCCTCTGATGCTGACTGGCTCCCTCGTGTGTTAGTTGCGGGCGCCATTTTATCCTGCTGCTGTGGTTCAGATTGCTCTGTAAAAAATCTCCTCAAGGAGGATTTTGTGGGCGGATTGACAGTTGCTGGGGTGTTACCTGTGGTGTTGCGCTGCTTCTTAGTTGTCATTGCTTGAAATTATTGCCGGGTTTTGCTGATTTTCCCCTGTCATGCACGGAGCTCAGCAATTATGCTGTCGGTCTCATCAGAGTTCTGGCCACGCCCCCCCAGGGACAACAATTTAGTAAAAAGAAAGGACATGCAACACCATATTGTCCACCCCAGTCTACTTTCTTTCCTCACAGTAATAGTAGTTATCCCAGGCTTTAAAATCTCAGCCAGAGCACTCTGGTTGGTTTGGAAGCCAACCAACCAAATAATTCTAGGAGGCAAGTCTCGCTTCTTTTGAGACTTGCTTGGGAATATTCCACATGGATAAAATTCAGTTTGTCTAAATGAATTTGGACGAACCAAATGTTTTGTCATGCACAAGTCTAATCATTAGTGCTTTTGTAAGAATGTAATTTAGTTAAAATTTACTTTTATAAGCTAATAACCAGTTCTACGTGTAAATTTTTAAAATTAGATGGAAGGATAGTAGATTAGTCCTTGCTTCTTAGTGGAGATACTCCTTTTGTAAATATGCTCCAAATTTATTAATGGTAAACGAGTATCAACCACCATAAAAATAAGACGCGATCATAACAGACCAGGACAATTTTAGATAGACATCAGAACGAATATTATTATATAATTATGAACATTCATATTATTAATGTCTTAATTAATTTTTTCCATTTTACATTAAAGGAACACTTCAGTGTTAGGAATACAGTCCCTATCACTGTTCCTCTGCCCCTGTCCCCCTCAACCATGTAAAGGTAAAGATTCCAACGCCAATGTCCCTTGGTGCTAGGTCATGCTCTTCCACCTCCATGTCAACCGAAATGAAATGAATTGGTCTGGGTGCCTATACTGTCCCTTTAAGTAAAATTTAACACTACAACAATGATATGAATACTATTTAAATTTGTGCAGAATATCTAATATTGTTACTGTGAGTCTTCTTTTGAGTTTACAGTTAGCTGGGGGTTTGCTTTGTGATGTGATTGCAAGATTTGTAACTACTTGTCACTAGTTCACATGCATAACTTTTCTCAGTAAGTTTTGAACTGTGAAATCATAAAGAAAAATGGAAGCATGACCTCATCAACATGTGGAACTAATGATCTGGTCAAATGCCAGAGGTAAGCTGCTTCCATTGACCCTATGACTAATTACAAAGCAAGCAGTACAGTTATATTAACATGATAGGCTACATAATATAAAGAAACCATTCTATGCTATGGCAAACAAGATAAAGGTAGCTAAAAATAAAAAAAAATATTAGACATGATTTTGCCTTTATCATTTTTGGGTAAATTCACATGAACTCTAGTTGTGTACCTGATTAATGTATCATAGGTGGGTGAACACATTTTGTCTATTGATGGAACAACCTAAGTTTTTTTTTTTTTTCTTTCATGAATACTATTTCAGAAAAGCTTTTTTTGCTCTCTATAAGTGCAAGGCCGTATATGAAAGGAATAGTCTATAATCACTACACATAAAAAGCCAAGGCAAGGTTAAACCATATTGTTGCCACCATGTGTCGGATGGGATTGCTGTATGTATGTGCTACAATCAGACCTGCCCAGTAGTACGTTAGTTTACTTACTTTCTAGCACTATATGCTTATCCATTTATAACTCATGAGTCCTTTTGATGGAAATTTTCTTTGGGCATCTAGCTGCTTAAAGAGTGGTTACAATGTTTGGCGTTACCAATATAAAAAGGTTCCCATGAATACAGGGGTCAGTGACTATAAGACCTTCCACTTATTATTCTACACTTACATCGGTGACTTAATGGAACATAAAACTGTATTCCAAAAACTATAGTGTCCCTCTGCCTCCACATGAAAGTGTTAAAATGCTTTTTTTCACTTACCTGATTCCAGCACCATAATCCCTTGGTGCTGATTCAGTCTCCTCCGTCACGGAGATGGGGAACCTAAGGTGCATGCATGGCGTGCGCCAAGCACGCATTGGGGCTTCCCTATAGGACAACATTGAATCAATACTTACCTAAGGGTTTTTTTTTTCAAGACACTGGAAACTCTCATGCAAAGAGTGAGGACATCCAGCATCGTTTCACGGAGTAAAGCTCCAGGAAGTGCTTCTAGTGGTTGTCTGGAGGTTAACCCTACAATGTAATTATTACACTTTCTCATAAACTGCAGTGTTTTATGTTGCAGTGTTAAACAGACAGGGGTTCTACAACCAGACCACTTCAATGAGATGAAGAGGTCTGGGTGCCTATAGTGTCTGTTTAAAATATAATACATATAATCCAGGACTGGACAAATCCCAAGCACCATGGCGACTAAGAATTTTGTCTTGCCGCCTGGGATTTGTCAGCCCGTTGCCTCCCCCCCTCCTTTTTTTCGATTTCTGCAAGCTGGGAGGATGTGAAGGGAACTGTAACTACTTCCTCCAGGCGCTAATGCCGCATTGGGGAATGGAATGCTAGCCGGAAAAAAGGTGAAGACCTCTCTGATTGCCACCCACCCCATTCAGCAGAGCTGTCGTGTCCCATTCCGCAGAGCTGTCCGCACGCACCCATTCGCCTGCACTGGTTCAGCACCAGGAGGAAGTAGTTCAGTTCACTTTACTTCCTCTCGGCACACAGAGAGCTGCATGGGGATACAGGGGCAGGAGGGGGAGTCTGGACGAGCGGTAGCCCACTCCATCAGCCGCATCCATCCCCACTGTAGCCTGCTGCTGCCCAGTCCCACTGGACCCCAGGAAAGCCACCCTCCTACGCTCACAAGATAGGAAACAGTAGGGTGGCTAATATATATATATATATATATATATATATATATATATATATATATATATATATATATATAAATTTTTTTGTGTGTATGTATTTGTCTGTGTGTATCTAAGAATCTTTGTTTGTGTGTGTTTAATTGAGTGTATCAAATAATACTTGTGAGTGTGTGAGAGAATGTATGTCGGTCATAGTATGTGTGTGTGTGTGTGTCTGTCTGTCTGAGATACAGATGTACATTTGTGTGGACATCCAGTATATCAGTGCGATCCACTGTAACACTCTTTTCCACTATCACCCAGCCCAATATGCCTTTACCTCTCCCTCCCCTCTCCCCCACCCCTGTTTATTTCCTATTTGGTGGGATTTTTCTACCATCATGTGATTTATCCAGATTTTTTGCCTGTTTTGTTTTGGCCAGATTTTCATGTTCCTCACCATGCTACATATATACTTTATACTTGCATTATGTTTACTGTGTTGTTAATTTAATGTATTAGTAGTCAATTCTTAGGTAACATGCCCACTTAATGCCATATATTTCCGTGTTTGTGAACACAGAGTTTGGTTCGACGGTTACTATGTGTAAATACAGCTGTGTACACTTTCTTCCCCAGTGTCCTCAACCATTTCAATCTGTTATGTCTGTTTTATTTTTCCGTTTTCTGTTTATTATATTACAAGGTACCATAACCCACCTCTCAGAAGTTTTCACCCCAGGTATCTGTTGTATTTTTGATGATCTAGCACCTTACAGTTTACATTGTAGTACAGAGGTAGTGTGATTTTAATGGCCATGTATGATTCAAATATGTGGTTTCCAATTGTTCAATGATTTATCTAAATGAAAGAATATACCTTGCTTTAAATTGTACCTTTTGCGGTCTAATGTAAAGGTGCTGATTCTATTGGAGTTTCACCTGTTCCATCTATAATTTAATGGGATCATAAGGCACTTGCTGCTGTCGTTTGATGAGTTTGACCTTTCATGGAAGACAAAGGGACTTAGATTAGATTTTAATGGGACTAAAACATCCAATTATCACTTTAGATGAAGGGTTTGGAGAACACACTGTAAGCCAATTAGTCCACTTGCATGGCTATACAATGAAGCTGAAACATGTAGGATTTCATTCTAGTTCTATATCCAAAATAAGGATACTCAGCGCCATTAGTAATTGAGCATTTTACCTAATGGGTAAACTCACATTGGACCAAATTAAACAGATGACACAGAAGTGTGAAACTCAAAAAGTAGATGGCGCGTTTATTGACTTATTATTCTTGTCTAACAGTGGGATAGAAAAAATATGTAAGCTTACAAAAAGTCAGATTTACATTAATATTAGAAGGATCAAAGTCCATATCCTCTATAAGGTAATATTTCAAACTTGTATAAGAACAAACGCCATAAATGTTGCCCGGTGTCAATACTAGCCAATAAAAGGGACGGAATTAAGCCATATCTGAAGAAATGTTTTGCTGTGCAAGTTGCAGACTAATCCTAGAGTGGGGATGGCAAATGGGACTTTCATTGAAATATATGATTTTGCATTTTTTTTTTGTGTGAAAATAAATAAAGCCCCTGTATACAAGGGTTTGTGGAAAAAAAATGGGTAGTAAATAGACCGAACATATTTTTTTTTTTTTTGCATATTGTCTCTACTAATTCATATTGTAAACGGACAAATTTACAGGATAATCCACCTCAAACTGGGTAAATAGGTAAACCATAACATTCTTATTTACAGGTGATACTCGAAAAATTAGAATATTGTGCAAAAGTTCATTTATTTCAGTAATGCAACGTAAAAGGGGAAACTAATATATGAGATAAGCGCATTACATGCAAAGCAAGATAGTTCTTTTTTTTTATTATAATTTTATTGAAAATTTTTTGTATATCATAAGTAATCAGCAAGTAACAATAACAAGAAGTATTCTATTGATATGATATAATCAAGCATTTAGTACAAAATCTTATTTATATAAAAGAAATCGAATAGACAAAGAAAAAACAAAAACATAAACATGAACAAGACAACTAAAATATACCGCCACCTATACAGAGCAGGAGAACTTTCTTACTAATATATCAAAGATACAAGGATTAGTTACCATGTAACAGTACAAAAAAGTACAGTTACAGAAACAAAAAGGAGCTAATTGAGACCTTAAGACCATAGTTGTTATTGTATATTTTTTCTTGCTTTACCTTTTCTTTCGTTCCCTTATCTTTCCTTTTCCTATCCTTTTCTTTGCCCTTCTCTTATCCATTTTTCCCCCTTATTGTATAAATGTAAATGAGCAACACGGACCATAATTTTGTTACCATTAAATATGGGAAAGTTTATGAAGCCAGTTGGAATACCATATAGTTTTTTTTTTTTTTTTTTTTTAAAACAGTGTTATTAGTTATAATCTCTTTTTCCATTGTTAACTGAAATATAATTTGATCAATCAAACGGGATTTCTGAGAAAAATTCGAGGACTTCCAATGTCTGGCTATATTGATTTTGTTCGCAACAAAACAATGTATAGCAAAACAGATATGTTCATGCGACTTTAATTGCCAATTCAAATGTAAAAGGGCGGTGACCGGATTATGATTAAGTCTAATACATATAACTGCATAAATGGTATTAAATGCCCATATCCACAATGGTTTAACCAATGGGCAGTCCCACCATATATGGATATATGTGGCCAGACACGAGCCACATCTCCAGCAAGTGGAATCGTATGATTCATACATTTTTTTTCAATCTTGTTGGAGTGAAATACCATCTGTGAACTACCTTAAAATGACACTCCGTCAAAGTTAGACAATGTATATATTTATTTACATTTATTAGAGAGGCTAGCCAGTCATTAAAGGGAATCACCAAATTTAATTCCTTCTCCCAGATGTTAATCAGTTTATGGGGTATTATCTTAGTTTCATCAAGCAAAAAGTTAGCAACAGAAGTAACCTTAGAAAGCGTTCGATAACAGAATAGAGCTTCCAATTTCTTAGCGAATGGAAAAGAAGTTGGAATAACACATTTCTGTATGAAATGTTTGATACGAAGATAAGTAAATATCTCTCTAGGAGAAATATATATATTCTCAACAATCTGTTGGAAAGACAGAATATTATCTCCTTGCATAAGGTCTGAAATACTTAGAGAGTCCATATTACCCCAAGAGGTCAATGAGAAATCCTCTGTTATACCCTCCAAAATATTAAGACTACAAGATCTTGGTATTAGTTGTACAATATTAAAAATTTTCTTAATTTCTGCCCAATCCTCTAGAGTTTGAAACAACGTGGAAGGAAACCAAATATTTGGCTCTTTCAAAATCTCTTTAATATTCATCAACATACGATGATATAATCTAGAAGAGTGGGCAGCTTCCTACTCTAATATAAACCATGGCTCCCTGCGAACCTGTGGATCTTGAAGAATGTAAATATGACGAATAATATTTGCAAAATACGTATATATAATACTAGGAAAGCTAAGACCACCATTTAATTTAAAAGCAAGATAGTTCAAACTGTGAATTGTCATAAGTGCGACGATTACAACTCATAAAAACCCCAAATCCACAATCTCAGTAAATTAGAATATTGTGAAAAGGTTCAATATTCTAGGCTCACAGTATCCCACTCCAATCAGCCAAGTAAGCCATAACACCTGCAAAGGGTTTCTGAGCCTTTAAATGGTGTCTCAGTCTGGTTCAGTATGAATCACTATCATAGGTAAGACTGCTGACCTGACAGTTGTGCAGAAAACCATCATTGACACCCTCCATAAGGAGGGAAAGCCTCAAAAGGTAATTGCGAAGGAAGGTGGATGTTCCCAAAGTGCTGTATCACAGCACATTAATAGAAAGTTATGTGGAAGGGAAAAGTGTGGAAGAAAAAGGTGCACAAGCAGCAGGGATGGCCGCAGCCTGGAGAGGTTTGTCAGGAAAAGGCCATTCAAAAGTGTTGGGGACTTTCAAAAGGAGTGGACTGAGGCTGGAGTCAGTGCATCAAGAGCCACCACACACAGAAGGATCCTGGACATGGGCTTCCTCTTGTCAAGCCACTCCTGAACAACAAACAACATCAAAAGCGTCTTACCTGGGCTAAAGAAAAACAGACCTGGTCTGTTGCTCAGTGGTCCAAAGTCCTCTTTTCTGATGAGTGCAACTTTTGCATCTCATTTGGAAACCAAGGACCCTGAGTCTGGAGGAAGAATGGAGAGGCACACACTGCAAGATGCTTGAAGTCCAGTGTGAAGTTTTTCACAGTCTGTGTTGATTTTGAGGAGCCATGTCAGCTGCTGGTGTTGGTCCACTGTGCTTCACTAAGTCCAGAGTCAACGCAGCCATCTACCAGGAGATTTTGGAGCACTTCATGCTTCCTTCCGCAGACAATCTTTATGGTGATGCTGACTTCATTTTTCAGCAGGAAAAATGGCACCTGACCACACTGCCAAAAGCACCAAAGCCTGGTTCAGTGACTGTGGGATTACTGTGCCTGATCTGTGGGGCATTGCCAAGAGAAAGATGAGAGACATGAAACAATGCAGAAGAGCTGAAGGCTGCTATTGAAGCATCCTGGTCTTCCATAACACCTTAGCAGTGCCACAGGCTGATAGCTTCCATGCCACGCCGCAGGCAGTAATTGCTGCAAAAGGGGCCCAAACCAAGTACTGAGTCCATATGCATGCTTATACTTTTCAGAGGTCCAATACTGTTCTATGTACACTCCTTGTTTTATTGATTGCATGTAATAGTCTAATTTACTGAGATTGTGGATTTGGGGTTTTCATGAGCTGTAAGCCATAATCATCGCACTTATGACAAATCACGGCTTGAACTATCTTGCTTTACATGTAATGCGTCTATCTCAAATATTAGTTTCCCCTTTTACGTTGCATTACTGAAATAAATTAACTTTTGCACGATATTCTAATTTTTCGAGTATCACCTGTAATACTCTGTTTCACAGGAGATACTTGTATGTATAATGGTACTCCAGTAAATTTAAGAGGCCTACTATGAATTTCCTTATAATATATTACATTTACAGAAAATACAGTATATTATGTTTTTCGTTGTTTTCCATTATTTGATGTACTTAAGCAGTGGATTGATACATGAATTTCAAGATATAGGCTATAAACATTCATCTGTGGCTTTAGAGTTGGAGATTTCTTTCCAAATAAGCACCTTTACCCCAACTTTGCAATTTAGTTTTCATTTTAGTACAATTTTTTTTTCAGAAAATATTTAAAGATCTATTTTATTTGCAATAACAATGTAGACTTGGAGAAAAGCATTCATTTATCAGGTCACGTAGTATTGAAAGCTAGCTTAGAAAAATACCAATGTACAAATTAATAGTGCTCTTGGATGCAGAATGCATTGAACCTGTTTTGAAATTATAAATTTTAGCAGTGAGTTTACAGAAAAGGTTACGCATTGTACAATGTGTCTTATTCACTTTAAACCATACAACTTCTGTAGTAAATATACAGAAAGCATAATATCTAACATTTAAACAATATATCTTTGAAAAACGCAACAGCTAACATAAAGTTATGGAGTATTTATTAAAGGGACACTATAGTCACCAGAATGTAGTGGTTATGGTGTCTATAGTAAGTCCTTACAGACTGAGCTCTGTGAGCACATTGTGTTTACATTGCTGCCTAATAACCATTATAGCAGAAGTCACTCAGACAGCCAAAAGAGGTGCTTCCCTATGTTTAGCGATGCTAAATGCACCCCATAGAGATGCATTGGTTCATTGCATCTCTATGTAGAATTGCTGATTGGTGCAGTGCTATGTTTGGCTTAGGAGAGCATTGGATTGGATGAGATCATCAAAAGTGATAGTCTCAGCCATGGAGAGCCTGGAGGAGAAAAAAGGTTAGGTTAAACCAGAGCTCAACTAATCCCAGAAGCTAGGTCAGTCTTTGTCTGTCTGTAACTTTGTGAGAGAGTGTGTGTGTGTGTGTGTGTGTGTGTGTCCGTCCGTCAGTGTTTGTCTGTGACTGTGTGAGAGAGTGTGTGTGTCTGCCAGGGTGTGTGGGTCTGCCTATAAGTGTGTGCGTTTAGGTCACCAGCCCTCTCTGATCGCATGGGAATGGTGTTCTTACCTTGTTCCCCAATGCTATGCAGGTCATGCTGCAGTTGGCCAGCCTCTATAGCTGAGATTATCAATTACCAGTCAGCATCTCCTCATAGAGATGCAATAAATTAATGCATCTCTATGTGTAACGTTCAGCACCTCCATGCATAGTGCAGCACTGAGATAGGAGACCCTTTAGTGGCCGTTTGAGTGACCGCCACTAGAGGTGCTACTAGGCAGCAATGTAAACACTGCCTTTTCCATGAAAAGGCAGAGTTTACTTTGAAAAGCCTGCAGGGACAATCTATAGACACCAGACCACTACATTAATCTGTAGTAGTTCTGGCGATTATAGTGTCCATTTAAGAATTTAAGATCCTAACTTTTTTAGCTGCTCCTATATTGAAAGCAAATTTGTCAAGCCCTGGGTTAAACACCTTATTACTGTGGGGCCGAAGACCTGCATGTTTCATTCCTGACTCTATAGTGTTCCTCCCACAGTCTTCTTCACGTCTGCTATGGAGATAGCCTAGCAACCACAGTGCATACGCTGTATTTGCTATGCATGAAGAACCTGTGGGAGGTGTCTTCTGCTCTTTATTCTCAGTCAATTTTTGACAAAGAGCCTATGCTGAAGAAATGATTGACGTGTGGAACACATACCTTTATCCAAATCTGCTGACACAATGTATCGATAGAATTTAATGTTCTTTAAATAAAGTATAGGTTGTACTACTTGACTTGTAATGTAATGTTGTATTATGTTACTGACTCTCTATCTACTAGAGTAGAGTACTCCGGTCACAAGCATGATGGGATTGCTTGGTGATATCAATGGGAGTGGTTTTGTTTTGTTTTTTTTAGACCAACTTCATCTGCCCCTGTGCAATCCTGATGAACATGCTTGCCTCCTTACCTGTATCATGTTATGGCGTTCAATCCTTAAAGGGACACTATAGGCACCAAATCAACTTTGGCTTAATGAAGCAGTTTGACCAATGACAATTGTTCCTGTGTCATTGTGTAATTGTCTCATTTATTGTAAAATTTCCCTCCTTCCTAATATTGTAAAGCACTGCGGAATTAGTTGGCGCTATATAAATACCAATAATAATACACCAACATAGCTTCCATGAACATGTTGTATAGAATTTGTAGTTGTACAATGTGGTGTGCTAGTCACATGCCAGACATGGACCTAAAGTGGTTTCATCTAATAATGCTAATGATTATAGCACCTATTTAAAATACACTATATGTGTATTACTGTCTTTTTGGTGTATAGCCTCCCTGTTAATTTATCCATCGTAATTTGTGGCAGTTTGAGCTTAATTAGGTATCCTTAGAGTGTGCAGTTGGCACAGATGAAGAATGTGCCAAACAAGAGAGCCCTGCTGGTGGAACAACTAAAAGATCTGTCCGTCTGTTTATCTATCTGACTCTGGCTTTCATTTAATAAGCTTTCCAAACAAGTCAATACTGTTAGAAAAACTTCCCAGATTCTGTATCTACTAAAAAATCCTATAGATTGTAATGGTGAATTCTGTAGATATATAATCTGGAAGGTTTTTGACACTTAGGAGGAATGGTATCCTCTCCTAATTGAGTGGGATGGGGGTGGCACTACTATAAGTGTCAATGTGGCATGTCATCCAATATTTATAGGAAGGAGGAAGTGGGTATATTTTACCCACACTCCACCAAGCATTAGATACAGCAGGGCTTGACAAATTTGCTTGGAATCTTTGAGCCAGAGACATCAACGCCAAAAATACAATTCTTAAAGGGACACTATAATCACCAGAACCACTACAGCTTAAAGTAGTTGTTCTGAAGTCTTTATCCTCTCCCTGAACACTTTCCAATTTAAAAACTGACTTTTGAGACAAAAGGACATGTTTACATTGCTGCCCGATGACACCTCTATCGACCGTCACTCAGGCGGCCTCTAGAGGTGCTTCCTGGGTCACTGCTTCACACTGTGCAGCACCTACATTAATGCTCCCTATAAGGATCCATGATTAAATACATCTCTATGTGAAGTTAAATTGGTGTAGTGGCATTTTGCTGTACATGCACAATTGTCTTCCAATGCTTTCCTATGGGGAAGCATTGGATTGACTGAGATCGTCAAGATTGATAATCTCAGCCATGGAGGTGGGGCCAGCCGCGATGTAACCGGCATGGTAAAGGTGAGTAAAAACCTTTCCCATGTGATTGGAGGGAACACACACACACACAGACACTCAGTCACAAATAATTACTTTTTATTTTATTTTAATTTAAATCCACGCTTGAGTGGATAGCTTTCCCTGGAGTCCAGTGGGGCTGCTGTCATCTTCCTGCTCATCTCACTCTCGTGCACTGTTAAGTGAGCCTGGGGCTGGAGTGACGTCATAACCCAGCTCTCGGCATCACTGTTTCTAACAAAGTGGTCTTTTGCAGTTTAGAACGTATAAACATCTTCCAAGTATTCGCCCCAAAAATGCAATAAATTACCCTCACTTTTTAAAAATAAATTCTAAAAATGATCAGCTTAGTGAATTACCTTACATTTGTGTTGCACTAAGCTATTTTTTAATTACTAACCATCTACTTGTAAAGATGCACTTTAAGTATATGTTTGTGTAAAAATAACGATATACCTGTTGTAATAACAGCAGTGTTCTAAGTCAGCACATAATGACTTGTCTCCATGGAGTATGTATTATTTGTCTTCTACTGCTACCTCATGAAGCAACAGAGACATATGGTGATCTCCACAGAGTATAATTAGCACTTCAAAATACACATTGCAATGCTGGCCTGGTTAAAATACAATGCCAAGGGTGAGTTTATTGATAGTGGTTTGTTAAAGGACAACTGTCAGCAACTGTAAGGATTTTTAACCCCTTAAGGACCAAACTTCTGGAATAAAAGGGAATCGTGACATGTCACACATGTCATGTGTCCTTAAGGGGTTACAGTGTATTACTGTTAAGAAACTTCATTTTTTATTTTGCTTATTAAATCTTGGAAATTTTATTTTTATTGAGGTGCAACAGAATTAGAAAGTTTAGACGGTAATGTTGGCTGACTTGGCTTATTTGTTGGGCTGTAACAAATCCCAAAGATGTTTAATAGGGTTGAAGTGTTAAAACCTGGTCTGTTTATTCATTCACATTCTTCTACACTAGATTCAACAAAACTTTTCTGTATGTGTCTTGTTTTGTACATAGAACTTTGTCATGTGAGACAGTAAATGGCCTTGCCATTGTGTTTGCCAAAAACACATTCTTTTTTTCTAGAATATTATTGTAGATTGTAGATTTTTGTTAACAAGAAATAATGGGTCTAATGTGAAATTGAAAAACAGTCCCATACTGTTATTCCTCTATCTAATTTTACAGCTAACACTATGCTGGAATGTAGTATTTTTTTTAACCGACGATGAACACTGTCATCTGTTACACTGTCATAGTAAACTGTGATGCATGATTCTTAAGATTTACATTTACCATAACTGCAACTTTGACCTCCTTTTGACCAAATTGTGTGCACTCCTTCGCTTAGTAGTGACATCAGTGCCCCCAAGCTTCTGGTTACCTTAGTAAACGAAGTTCTGGATTGTGAAAAAGTGACAACTTTCCAAAACAGAACTATACAGAATTTACAAAGTGTGTGTTAAAAAAAAAAAAAATATATATATATATATATATAGGGTTATGGTGGGGAAAAAATTGTGATTGAAAACCCCTTCCACTTGAAGTCTGTGGATAGTTAATACAATGTTAAGCAAACATCTGCACACCAGTCAAGTCATAAGACTTGCCTTTCCCACAGAAATCACAAATTTGCAGTGATCTTACTACCGCAAAGGATTCTGGGTGGGCAATGGCATATGCAAATTAGTTTAACAAAGAATTTGCCTCTTTTCCAAGTTTCAAAGCTGTTGTATACAGCAAACACATACTCAAAGGAATCCATGTTAAAAATGGAATGAGGCAATAATTTGATTCTTTATTAAACTAATTTGCATATGCCCACCCAGAATCCTCTGCAGTAGTAACATCACTGCAAATTTGTGATTTCTGTGGGAAAACCAAGTCTTATGGCTTGACTGGCATGTAGATTTTAGTTTAACACTGTGTGTGTGTGTGTGTGTGTGTGTGTGTGTATATGTGTGTGTGTATATATATATATATATATATATATATATATATATATATATAACGGCGCAAAGTCACTTCTGGCAGCTAGGCCACTCTGCCGCTAGTGGGAGTCGGCTGAATTTTCTTGAGGGGTTACCTACATACATTAATACATTCAGCAGCAGCACCAGTTCTATCTTCCTTGACACATACCAAGCAACCTGCAAAGTTCTTTTTCTTGTCTTTTTTTTTTTTTTAAATATCAGACACATAAACCTATTATTTCTGTGGTATAGTGCAGTATGGCTACTTTAGATCCCTGAGGATTTCTGTAGTGTGCCCAGCATGACTCATCAGATTGATCTATACAGTTTTCAGTTTAAGCCTAGCATATACATTTCTAGCACTATGATTCTGTTTACTCATGATCGCATAATCTATATAACGTCTTGTTCTTTTACAAGCACTGACTTTGTTATATACTTATTTTACTTTAAACATTGTGCACAATATTCTCTATGCCATGTTATATTCCAGGACTTGACAAATTTGCTTGGAATCTAGGAACCAGCAAAAAAAATTGGGAGACAGGTTTTTCAATGTCAAAAATACAATTCTTAAAGGGACACTATATAGTCACCAGAACCACTACAGCTTGAAGTAGTTGTTCTCGTGTCTATAATCTGTGCATAAACACTTTTCAATGTAAACCCTGCCTTTTCAGAGAAACGACAGTATTTACATTGCTGCCTTGCAACACTTCTAGTGACAGTCACTCAGACGGCCTCTGGAGCGCATCCTGGGTGAGTGCTCTCCACGCCCTGCATCAATGCATCTCTATGAGGAGATGCTTATTGGCGCAGCATGGCGTTTTGCCACAAATGCGCAATAGCCTATTGGGAAAGCATTTGATTGGCTGAGATCATCAAGAATCAAGATTGTTGATAGCAGTCATGGAGGCAGGGCCAGCTGCGGCTAAATTAGGACAGCATGGGAGAAAAAGGTGGAGTAAAAAAACCCTTTCCCATGTTATTGGATGGGGACTAGTCATTTAAACACACTCAATCACTGACGCACACACACAAACTCACTGACGTGCACACGCACTCACTGACTGACTGGCACACGCACACTCACTCACTGACATTCACTCACTGACACACACACCCACTGTCACTGCAATAATCACACACATTTATGTGACCACCCAGCCTCCCTACCTGGGTCCAGCTTTCCCTGTGGTCCAGTGGGGCTTCAGTCATCTCCCAGTACAGTAGAGCACTGTTTAGTGATGCTGGGGCCGTCATATTCCGGCTCCTGGCATCACTGGAGGGCGCGCGAGGAAGCAGAGCAGGGAGGTTGTTACAACTGCCTCACGCGCCTGGTTGTCTGCCTCAAACTTACAGGTGCCTGTGCGCACGCCAACGCTCTCACTCGCAAGGCCGCCCACCTACGCTCTTACTGAGCTGGCCCACCGACCACCCACACGCATGCCCATGCTCTTTATAAGCCTGCTGGACGGCCTCCTCCGCTAATAGACAGCCAGCCACCTTGGGGGCTGAATGGGCCAGCAAATCCCAGATGCCAGGACAAAAATCCTAGTCGCTATGGCGACCTGGCGCCTGGGATTTGTCGAGCCCTGTTATATTCTGTTATTAAAGTGTTTCCTACAGCTATTGTGGCATAGCCAACCTGATTGTTATCTCATGCACAAAGAAAAATAAAGAATTTAAAGGTAAAAATTATTTCAATTAAAAGATTGGGAGGCCTGCCGAGAGCTACAGACATTGACAGTGTGTAATTTGCACAAAATCACACTCTTGATGCAGCAAAGAATAGAGATGTTATCATTCATGTAGAACATCGAAATCTAGCACTGTTTGTGTTACCCCTGACCACTGAACAAAAGACTATATCTACTCAATTCTGTTAGTTAGAGCTAAAGTGATCCTCTCTGCATTTTTATAACCCATTATTTTAACAATGCTTTAAAAATAATTTCAAACATTATTAAAAAAAGAAAAAGAACAACAAAAGTGCCAGGACAAGCGCTCCAAATCCAAGAATAGTTTAATCCACTCAGTGCAAAAATAGACAAACAGGGGGAAAAGGTCCAAAAAAAACTTTACACAAGGTTTGGACCTACAGGTCCTTAGACATATGAGTGCAAGCATACAGACCTATCTGACACCAGAAAGAGGCTCCATAAATCTGAAGCCTGTCATTCTGGTCTGAGGGTTGCTTTATAAACCCCAGCCTGGAGTCATGGAATAAAAAAAAAAAAAAGAAAAAAAAAAAAGAAACCATATCTTTTCTGCTGTCTGCTTATTCAGAGCCCTGTTCATATTTTAGTGAACAGGGTTGTGTACAACAATATCCTGAGATTCCTGAGCCAAAACCTGTGCATGCGCACGGCTGTATTGTGCTTCTAATTGCCTTTTAACAACAGAATACAAATTATTTAGGAACTTTTGGGGAGATTCATTAGAGTAGGAACTTCTAAAAAGGGATGCAAAGTTCTATAAGTGGGCAATTAAACAGGAAACCAGTGGAAATTTGCTAGCAACATACAGTGGTGTCTACCTCACCTTTACGCCTTTGCACCCACTTTTCAGAACACGGCACAACTGATAAATCTCCTCCTTTTTGATAATAACATAACATTTACATTTTAATCCCAAGTAGCTCCCTTTCTTAAAATTTACTTTATAATGATAATAAAAACACCCGTATCAACGGCTATTTCTGTATTTGTGTTGCTCCCAGTAGGACTCAAGACGGACATTTTTTGTCATCTATAGATCATCTGATACAAGAAATAAATGGTATCAAGTATTACAAAGTGCAATTAGGCTTGCAGTATATAAACTTTATTTCAAAGAATGAGATAAAGAGATATCACATTTTCTCTCTTACAGTGCTCTATAAAAACTTGCCATTATCTAAATTGACTGTAAGAAAATTACTCGCTTCCAGTGCTTTGTAAGCAAAGATATTGAGCTGTGTGATTTGTGTTGACATTATCTCTGACATCCAGCATGAGAGAGAGGCTGAAAATGGGGTTGTAAATCATAATTCCCGCAGTGATGGAAATGTAACCGGTAAGATCCAAATGTGTGCAAAGCAATATCTTTGACACCTTTTCTTAGACACTTGACACATCTTCTAAAATTCAATTTGCAAAAATAGTAGGGTGTATTGTAAGTATTAGTGATATGCATGAATACGTGCAAAGGGACATGCAGAATTATGTAACTTGAGACACTAGTAAGTCTTATTCAGTCTTGCAGGGTGTCTGTGGCACAGGACTGTGTATGCTTTATATTATTTTATGGGTATATGTGTGGTAACAAAAGCAATATAGAATGGTCCAATCAAATCTATTTGTAATTTGAGGTTTAAAGGAATGTGCTTAGGAATATCAATAAAAATTTATATATATATATATATATATATATATATATATATATATATATATACAGTTGCAAGAAAAAGTATGTGAACCCCTTGGAATGATATGGATTTCTGCACAAATTGGTCATAAAAGTGATCTGATCATAATCTAAGTCAAAACAATAAACAATCAAAGTCTGCTTAAACTAATAACACACAAAGAATGAAATGTTGCCATGTTTTTATTGAACACACCATGTAAACATTCACAGTGCAGGTGGAAAAAGTATGTGAACCCCTAGACTAATGACATCTCCAAGAGCTAATTGGGGTGAGATGTCAGCCAACTGGAGTCCAATCAATGAGATGAGATTGGAGGTGTTGGTTACAGCTGCCCTGCCCTATAAAAAAACACACACCAGTTCTGGGTTTGCTTTTCACAAGAAGCATTGCCTGATGTGAATGATGCCTCACACAAAAGAGCTCTCAGAAGACCTACGATTAAGAATTGTTGACTTGCATAAAGCTGGAATGGGTTATAAAAGTATCTCCAAAAGCCTTGCTGTTCATCAGTCCACGGTAAGACAAATTGTCTATAAATGGAGAAAGTTCAGCACTGCTGCTACTCTCCCTAGGAATGGCCGTCCTGTAAAGATGACTGCAAGAGCACAGCGCAGACTGCTCAATGAGGTGAAGAAGAATCCTAGAGTGTCAGTTAAAGACTTACAAAAGTCACTGGCAAATGCTAACATCCCTGTTAGCGAATCTACAATACGTAAAACACTAAACAAGAATGGATTTCATGGGAGGATACCACAGAGGAAGCCACTGCTGTCCAAACAAAACATTGCTGCACGTTTACAGTTTGCACAAGAGCACCTGGATGTTCCACAGCAGTACTTGCAAAATATTCTGTGGACAGATGAAACCAAAGTTGAGTTGTTTGGAAGAAACACACAACACTATGTGTGGCGAAAAAAAGGCACAGCACACCAACATCAAAACCTCATCCCAACTGTGAAGTATGCTGGTGGGGGCATCATGGTTTGGGGCTGCTTTGCTGCGTCAGGGCCTGGACGGATTGCTATCATCGAAGGAAAAATGAATTCCCAAGTTTATCAAGACATTTTTCAGGAGAACTTAAGGCCATCCGTCTACCAACTGAAGCTCAACAGAAGATGGGTGTGGCAACAGGACAATGACCCAAAGCATAGAAGTAAATCAACAACAGAATGGCTTAAACAGAAGAAAATACACCTTCTGAAGTGGCCCAGTCAGAGTCCTGACCTCAACCTGATTCAGATGCTTTGGCATGACCTCAAGAAAGCGATTCACACCAGACATCCCAAGAATATTGCTGAACTGAAACAGTTCTGTAAAGAGGAATGGTCAAGAATTACTCCTGACCGTTGTGCACGTCTTATCTGCAACTACAGGAAATGTTTGGTTGAAGTTATTGCTGCCAAAGGAGGTTCAACCAGTTATTAAATCCAAGGGTTCACATACTTTTTCCACCTGCACTGTGAATATTTACACGGTGTGTTCAATAAAAACATGGCAATATTTCATTCTTTGTGTGTTATTAGTTTAACCCCTTAAGGACACAGCTTCAGAAGCTTGACTTACGCTTAATGACACAAGCAATTTTTGCATTTTCTTGCTGTTTGCGTTCAACTGCAATTTGAAGCTTGACTTACGCTTAATGACACAAGCAATTTTTGCATTTTCTTGCTGTTTGCGTTCAACTGCAATTTGCATCTCTCTCATTTATTGCACCGACACATATTATATACTGTTTTTTAAAGGACAGAAAGGGCTTTAATTTGATATAACATATATATATATAAATGCTTACTTATTATAAAAAAAATACAGAAAAATGCAAAAAAAATGAAAAACATTGTTTTTTTTTACAGTTTTTGCAATAATAATGTGTGCATAATTAGTGCAGGTTAAGGAAAGTAATTAAAAATAAATTTATTTATTTGTTCTGATTTACAGAATATATAATGTGTCTGGGATTTTAAGTTTTTTTTGGTAGTTACAGGTCACAAAGCACAAGGAGTAAAATAAACTTTTAATGTGGAGCGATTTTAGAATTTGGTATGTTTGTCTTGTAAGCTTAATAGCCATAAAAGAAAACAAAATTGCCACACAAAAGTATATATTTATATAAAGTAGACATCACGGGCTATTTACCTAAGGTTGTTTTGACACTTTCTACGTAGCCATTTCACCGCCAACCTCTGCTAAATATTGGAGTAAAATTGTGTTCTTTTTGGTTTTTGGCACACAAACTTATAACAGAGAAATTCTCGTGTATATTTTGTAAAGTTGGTGTGTGCTATTCCTGTACAAAGTTTTATTTTGTGTTCAGTTACATCTGCTGAGTAAAATGACACCCCCATTGTATGTCTTTTGCACTATTTCGTGAAGTTACAGTGCCATACAGGATACCTGTCCTTTTCAGTATTCACAGTAGAATTTTGAGAGATGGATTTAATGAGCCTTAGCTTCCATTTTGGGGTATTATAACAGTTTGACTGTTCAAAAAACCCCCACAAAGGCCTACCATTTGTAAAAGTAGACACTCCAGGGTATCTTATAAGGTGCATATTGTGCCTTAACATGCCCCCATTTTTTCACCAATATATGCCAAAGTATGTGGTAAAAAATAATTTTGTGCATTTTTTACATACGGATTGCATTTTTGCTGGGCGTTTTGTATATTTCATATGTGCCACTAAGTTCAAACCCCCCAAATTATGCTCAGCTAAGTCTTCTGAGTAAAATGACACCCCATATGAATGTCTTTGGCACTATTTCGTGAAGCTACAGTGCCATATAGGAGACCAAGCCATATCCGTTTTTACCAAACTTTGAATTTTGACGCTGGGCCTATGTGCAATTTCCAAGCATCTTCGCAGGTTTTAAATTCAAACTACCCCACAAAGGCCTACCATTTCTTAAAGTAGACACCCCAGGGTGTTTCAAAAGGTATAGTTTGAACCTTAGCATGGGATCATTTTTCCGCTAGCTTGTACCAGATGTAGTGGTAATAAGCGTTTTTTCTGCCTTTTGACATACAAAGTGAGTTTGCACAGTATATTTTGCAAACCTTATGTGTGCTACGACTGTATAATACTTCATATGTTGCTCAGCTATGTCGGCTGAGTACAGCAATACCCCGTATGTACCTTTGCCAGGTATGTGTGGACATCGGAGGGGCACATTTGGGACACAGCCATTCCAGTTTTTTTCAAACTTTGAATTTTTATGCTGTGCCTATGTCCCATTTTAGAGTATTTTACCAGGCTATATAATCCAAATTCCCCATAAAGCCATACCATTTCTTAAAGAAGACATCCCAGGGTATTTCAAAAGGCATATTTTGAACCTTAGCGTGGGATCATTTTTCCGCTAGCTTGTACCAAGTGTAGTGGTAATAAGCATTTTTTCTGCCTTTTTGACATACAAAGTGAGTTTGCGCAGCATATTTTGCAAACCTTATGTGTGCTGTGACTGTATAATACTTCATATGTTGCTCAGCTATGTCGGCTGAGTACAGCAATACCCCCGTATGTACCTTTGCCAGGTATATGTGGATGTTGAAGGGGCGCATTTGAGACGCAGCCATTCAGTTTTTTTCTAACTTTGAAGTTTTACGCTGTGTCCATGTTCCAATTTGGAGTAGTTTAGACGGTTGGTTATTGAAACTTCCCCACAAACACATACTATTTATTAAAGAATACACCCTGGGGTAATTCAAAAGGCATATTTTGAACCTTGGCGTGGGATAATTTTTTCTCTAGTTTGCTCCAGGTGTAGTGGTAATGAGCGTTTTTAAAATGTATTTTTTTACTTTTTATAACTTTTTTACTTTTAAAAACTAGTTTTTAAACTTTTGTTTTGCTTATAAATTTTTTTTAAACTTTCCTAAACTTTCTTAAAACTTTTTTACAGATTTAACATTTTTCTAAGCTTTTTTTTTTACCGTTAACCCCTAACTAGCAGTACGCAGCAGTAACAGTAAATTCCCCATTTTCCCATAACTCCCACCCACCCCAGCTAGCAAAATATATAGTTATAAAATATTTAAATTAATTAATTAAATAAATTGAACCCCTGAGGGTTAAAAAAATAAATAAAAGTTAATCCTCAGGGGTTAAAAAAAATTAGATCACAGTATAATACTGTGATCTCTATTTGATCGCTGTAGGCAGTGATCGACTGTCAGGGAAGGGGTTAATTTTTATTTGGACTAGGTAAAGTGTGTTTTTTTTTTGTTTTTTTTACTTAAATGTTATTAAAAAAAATTTTAAACTTAATTTTTAACTTTTAAAAGTTTCTTTTAAAACTTTTTTTAACGTTAACCCCTAGTTAGCCTAACGCCAAATCCCCCAATTCCCCACTAACTTCCACCCACCCCAGCTATCTAAATACATAATTAAAAATAATTTAATTAATTTAATTAATTTAACCCCTGAGGGTAAAAAAAAAAAAAAGAATTAACCCTCAGGGGTTAAAAAAAAAAATCAGATCATAGTAAAATGTAATCCCTGCCAATTGATCACTGTAGTCCGTGATCAATTGGCAGGGAAGGGGTTAATTTTTTATTAAAATGGGTAAGGGGGGGGGACTTTAAATAAACTTTATTTTTTTTTTTTACAGCAGGGGGCAGGATCAGCACTGATCCGGCTCCCTGCACTTCACACAGAACCCGGAAGTGCAGGGAGCCGGTAGGTGAGTATAGAGAGCACATGTGCTCGCTCAGACTTGTGGTCAGAGCGAGCACATGTGCTGGGCAGCTTGACCGGGTGCTCCCGGTATGCCTCCAATGCAGAGGCATACCGGGAGCACCATTAACCCCGCGATCGCCGCGATAGCGGCGATCCGGGGTTAATTTTACCGCGTGACGGACAAAGTCCGTCACCCGTCGTTAAGGGTCTCCCCTGTGTGACGGACCTCGTCAGTCACCCGTCCTGAAGGGGTTAAGTAGACTTTGTTTTTGTTTATTGTTGTGACTTAGATGATGATCAGATCACATTTTATGACCAATTTGTGCAGAAATCCATATCATTCCAAAGGGTGCACATACTTTTTCTTGCAACTGTATATATATATATATTGTGTGTGTGTGTGTGTGTGTGTGTGTGTGTGTGTGTATATAGCATGTTACAGTATTCTTATAACAAAAATAATTTCCAATAGAAACCTTGTCAGATGAATCATGGTATATTAATGTTCACAATCTCATTAAAATCTCAGATAAGTAAGTACTCATATTAAGACACACCACAACCAGTCAAGTGGGTCCTCCAGGAGAAATACTCCTTTATCACACACACAACAACTATTGCCCAGTTAAAACTATGGACCGCTACTGCAACACTATAACAGGTCTTCCAGGTAATACACCAATTCTGTCATTACACGGTAAACCTCTCATGTCAGGTAAATTCATATTTTACATCAGAATACTATTCATGAGACTTGGACTAATCCCGTTTATATTTGCAGGTCATTTATCAGCTGCCTCTAAAATAGATATTCCAGTGCATAAAATTAAAAGACAGGGGCACTGGAAATCTTCTGTTTATAGTATATTCCTCAACCAGAGAACACAATGTTAAGGCTATGGCCTGTAATTGTGGGAGGGATTACCCGGTCTATATAAACTCTAGCAACCCCCTTACCTAGGCCATTGCTGTTCGTTGCACCCCATCTACCACTCCCCTCTCTTATCAAAACCCTGGTGGTCCCACTTTATTTACAGGCCTACCCATGCCTTGGTTTTCGGTACACCACAACCGACTTGGGATCACCACACTTCTGATGAAGCCCTTTGGGAGAAACGAATTAAGTGTGGTTTTGTATTTCATACTTAAGCCCATAATGTTTTTATTTATAGATCTATAGTATTTTATATACAGTTTTCTGTCTATAAAGTGAATTCCTTACACCTTTATATTGGAATTTATATTATTACTTACCTGTACCTGCTGGCTCCCTAGATCCTGCTTCTCCTAGGTGGGGATCATACCACCAAGGCCTCTGACCACTAGAGTTAGTTCTTGCTCTCAAAATTGTAGATACCTTCCTCTGAGTTGCTTATTTTACTTACTTATTACACTATTGGAGTTTTCTGTTTTCTCTACATGCTGTGCTGACCATACTTGTTCTGGAGAGCACTGACCTTTGTGGACCCATATACACCCTTAGATGGGGACAAAACCGTGCATCACAGCAGAGCTCTAATGTTAGCTCCTTAAAGTTTGATTGGGCCATCTCTGTGTATTTTTTTAACGGTTTACTGAACATACACACTGTACTATTAGTCATATTTTATTCTTTTTTTTGAGGTTGATTATCTTTCTCTCAAAATTACAAATCGATGTATGTATATATGTATATTTGCACTATCAGCACTTTATGATCGTGTGTCTGCAGAGATAACATGCATTTTCTTCACTGTAAAAATGTTATAAAATAGACAGACAGAGTTCAGAAAGTCCTTTAATTTAAGTTTTTTTCCAATCATGAGTGATTAACCTATTAAACTGGAGAAAGTTCACCTTGCAATAATTTCATCATTATCGATGTATCCCTAATGGTATATAACAAAATCATACAAAATTAAGTGCTGCTATCAAACTCCTAGTACTTCTGGCGGGCAGTAATGATTATAGTACATATTAGCCCCAATACATACAATAATATATATATATATATATTAAGTGACCATTGAAGTAATACTAAATAACCTCCAGTTATTTAAATGTGCATATGAATTTGGGACAGTGCGCAAGTACACATTTTTTTTTTTTTTTTTATGTAACAAAATCAGTTCTGGCATAACTGTTAATCGAATCTGAAAAGTTCTTATTCTAAATTTTAAATCTTCATCTTGTTGCAAATATAAAGGATTATAACAACCAATAAGAATGAGTCTACTTTTAAAAACTTTGATTTAAAGTCCTTTCTGATTTGCATACTTGTCCAGTGCTAGGGTGGAGAATATGTCACATTCTGCTGTCCTTTTGTTAGGTTTGTTTTTCCAATGCACTGCGTTATTACATGTATTAATTCAGAGCAGCCTATATTCTAAACACGTTTCTCACCTTACGTTTTAACACCTGGTTGATCAGGGTAATTTATTTATTTATTTATTTATTTATTTTTAAGCCTTGGGTCAGGACTCAAAAATGATTGTTATTTTAGCGTGTAAGTGGTAAGGAGCTTGTCATATTTATCAGACATCAGGTATGTGCTTACAATAAAAAGTTTACTTTGTCAAGTTCAGTAGAGACCTATTTCAGTATTAATTATATTACAGTTGAAGAACAGGTCATTAAGCTAATTATGAAGTTTAACTATTTTGTTTAGAAGTTAAACTCCATCTCCCCGGTAATGGTATAAGATGCTAGACTAAAATGTCACCCTTTTCTTGGAATACCATGCTTCCCGACATTTCCGATGGACTAAGAGGGACACTTCAATCATGTTAGGGGGTGAATGGTGGTGTGACTAGGAGCAGGCCTGTTCTCAGATATTTTAGGTAACGTACTGATAATTTATACAACTAAAATGTAATTTAGAACAAGAACAATGTATCCTGTATACACAGACTGATTTATGAAGACATTTATTGTAGTTTAAAGACACATTACTGTTAGTATTATTACCGTGGAGCTCTGTCACACACTCAGACACACTAAGAATATGGAGCTACTTGAAAGAGGAACATTAGTATAGAAAAGAGGAACACAGGAATCTGGTCCCAAAATAGGGACAGTTAGCAGGTATGGAGTCCATTCCTGCCACATGGAACACCTCAGATGTTAATCACACTTTTTCTATTCACTTCCTTACCAAACCTAGAAAAAAATATCCACTATGGAATTCATTAGGAAACAGATTCAGTTTGTGGATGATGGGAGGTATTACATTTTGGCTTTATCAATCAGCAAAATTGATTTGTCAAACTGCTTCATGATCTCTTCATATCAGACTGGAATATGGCATTTATTGCCTTGCAACTACAAAACAATGTTGGCAAAATGACACATACTGCTGGCGAGATGGCACCCTGACAAATTGTGGTGTTATGTTGGCTGCCTGTCATATCCTGGTGGGAAGGTGACATCCTCTCACGTGCTATCTATGGCGGATAGGAAACCCCTCTTCAAAAGGGTTCATGGCATATGATCAGACCTCGGCACTTGATGACATTATATTTTAATGCGTTATTACATGATGCATAAAATAGAAGGTATGTGGGTTAGTGTGCCCCATTGTTTACCGTTATTTATTTATTTTAAAGCCCTGAGCACTTTTCTATTATTTTAACTACCTGTTCATTTGATATGAAATTCACAACCTGGAAAGCTGTTGTATCACACTTACACTATAAAAATATATACATGTTAATTTTTGGGGAGAGTCAATGCTTTGGTTCAGTCTTGAGAGATGTGACTGGGGCTGTATACACAAAGTGATTTAACTCATAAATAGCAGAGAATTGAGCATTGAGACTACAGTACGTATACACCGAAACCATTGTTTTAAGTTGACGTTGTTTTATTGCTTAGAGGGTCCCTTTAAAAGGGATAATTTTAAGGAGGATGCGATATTTGTGAATTATATGTTCATATTTTTTATTCAGAGTAATGATTTTGGAGATAATTTATTTTATTTAATAGTCCATAATTATGAACTACCGTAGCTAACATCCGCATATATTCTGCCTCATGAGTTCCTGTGCTTTTGGCAAATGCTGTAGAGTAATTCATTTACTCATTCTGGTATTCTATAATTTATCTTATATTTTTCTTTTCCCACTTTTTTAAAAATATTTTTTGCTATCCTCTGAGACATCGGGCTAAAGTTGGATTTGATAAATGTTTGCTTTTGCCTCGTAGTGGCTTTGTACTTCTAAAACAGTATTTGACACTTCTCTTTATTACAAAGTGAAGGGTTTAAATGTGAAAACAATCTATTATTTTGTTTTCTATTTATTATGATGTCTTGAGGGTTCTATCTTTCTGTCTTTCTTTTTTTTTTTTTTTTTTTACTTTGTGTTTCCCATTCCAGCCCTCTAAGTTCCCAATCAATCTGTGATTGCATGCTTTCCAAGTGCCCCAATTTCAGTGTGACAGTCCTGATTGTCTGGTCCTTCCTTGGTGTCCTATTTTTGGGGACACTGGGAACTGTCATCAAAACGTTTTGCACAAGCGCATCATTAGATGTGCTTGTGCTGCACTCAGGGTACTAGGACATTGCTCCCTGCAAATCCTGCGCTCCTTGATTGGCAGGCAGCCTGGCATGCATTCAGGCCAGGCTAACCTCCCAGTAATTCAAGCAGACCCAGAGGGTCTGCCCACTTTGGGCAGAGCCAGTAACACAATCCTGTCACTAGCCTGTCCCTTTACCCACCTCGCTTCTCAGGACGCCAATGTTGGGGGTTATGTGATCTGATTCATCTGGATCATTGTTTAGCAGTGAGATCTGGGTTGGATTCCACTAAGTAATCTGTCTACTTGTTAGAAGCTAGGAGTATTCTTACAGGATCACTATAGTGTCAGGAAAACAAACTCGTTTTCCTGACACTATATAACTCTTAGGTCCCCCCCACCCTTAGGGCCGAAGTTACTTACTTTAATCCATAATTTAATCCATAATTGAGCCCGGCGCTGGTGACCTCTCCTCCCCCGCCATCAGCTCCTGAGTGGAGCGGAATGCGTATGCACAGCAAGAACCGCACGCGCATTCAAACAGTCCATAGGAAAGCATTTCTCAATGCTTTCCTATGGACGTTCTGCACGCTGAATGCGATTTTCGCATCGCAGAAGCGCCTGTAGCGGCTGTCAGGAAGACAGCCAGTAGAGGCTGAATTAACCTTTCTCTGCTATGTTTACATCTGAAGGGTTAAAACCTGTGGGACCTGGCACCCAGATCACTTACTTGAGCTGAAGTGGTCTGGATTACTCTAGTGTCCCTTTAAACATTTTAAATTTTTAGAAGAATAAATTCTACAAAGTTAGGATCGTACAATGCAAATGTCTATACACTTGTTTCTTACATTAGCTTTTTTTTTTTTTTTTTTATTCAAATGTAATAGATTAAGATAAGGATATTTACAGAAGTTTTGAGAATATTTGATTTCTGTCCTGGAAGTCACTATAGAGTTCATTTAAGTGCACCTAGTGTTGACAATGAGAGGAGTTACATTGCTGTAAATTAAAATACATTTAAATGTATCTGTTATTGGAACACTTTACGCATTATGGGTGATTTGGGTAATGATGCAACTCAGCATTTTAACATTTTTGTTTTCTGTCTACCAAGACTTTTGTGTAAATATATTTTTATTTGACTTTTTCAACATTTTCATAAAGTGAACCAACAGTGTGGACACACAGGTCCAGTCATTTACAATTTCCGTTTTTCTGGGGATACGGTGTTACCTTGTACACTGTAGTGGCATACAAGTCACTTTTGAGCTTTTGTGGTTCTTTTTCAGTGGACTCGCAGGTCCTTTCGCATATACAATAAGACAGGCATAGCTCTATAGTTCCCAGTGTGTTTACCATGTCTGGTTCTAGTAGTCTTAATGGGAGTCTTCGTTGGTGTCTTGTGTGCTATGGGTAGGTGTCGTTTACTGTGAGGGGGGGGGAGAGGTGGTGTGGTCTCCCTTCTGAGGTCTGCTGGCATTGATAACTGTATTTAACAGTCTATGTCTTGTGATCGGTTATTGTTGTCTGCCTACCTCTTGTATGTGGTAACCTTCTCTGCGGCCCTACCAAGACTTTTAGGAAGACACAGCATTATCTTCTCCATTTTTGTTGTTGGTGTATTTCTTTTTTAATTCAATGTGAAGGGAATAATTTCTAAATATTGCTGATTACCTACCGCATGTTAAATTTATGGATGAAAGAACAAGTGTACTCGATGCACTGGGTGTTAAGGTCTTTTGTGCAATTTCTTTCACATATGTAAATTCATTTGTTTGCCTAAAAATACCTAAACGTAGAATGGGGTTGTGCATAAATAAGCATTCATATACCCCCCACTCCCCAGCCCCCGGGTGACTACCCCCTGCGACACTTGGTATAAGGTGTACAGGGCGTCTACTTTGCGCGGGGTATGTGACTCCACGGATATTGCTGATCATAACATACTCCACATGTCTCAACTTGTGTGACCTAAGGAAATAATGCCTAGTGCATGAATACTGGTATATATGGCACTAATGTGTTTATTTGTCTATTCAGTTCCCCCTGGATCATTTCTAATGATACGCTGGACATTCTTGTACTATTTTGTACTATTCCGTACTTATTGCTGTGTACTTATATTCTGACTATGAATCTTCAATAAAAATAAATTGAATAAATTTTTTCACGTTTCTAAAACTTGATGATATTTCAGTTATAGACTGTTGCTCTATAGTTTGTATTATTATATATAATTACAGCTCATTTAAACATTGTATGCAATCATCATCAAAAAAAAAAAAAAAAACACCCGTCCATCCACCCATCTTATAGGATAAGTACATTTACTCACCAACAGCAGTTCCACTAGTCTCATATGATGGAACTTCATTTAGTTTACACATAGCCCTGTTTACAGCATAGTGACCCTAGTCGACTGACCTGCATACCTCACATGTGAAATATGCACCTTCTCTCTTGTCATTGGATAGAGAGAGATTAGTCCAAATTGTGTCAATAGCCACAATAACAACTTGGCCAAAACTAAAGAGTTACTCATGCATCATAACAACCACACTCCACTATAGTGGTTATTATGCCAGGAGAATCCTGGCACCACACCTCGGCAAGGGGACAAATCTCTTACTTGCGTCCTGCTGGTTGTAGAGCCTCCAGTAATGCCAGGTGAGCTGCATTAGGCTTCTTCAGGGCTGGATGCCAATACCGATCATTCATTGGCTGAGCCCACTCTCATTAGCCAGCATGGGGCTCCTTCCTGGCTGGATAATGATGGAACTGCCTGAGATGGGATTACACCACCAGCACTCTAACTTTCTTTGTAGGTGCAATGTTTCAGACTGAAATGCGGCACACATAGATCCTTGTACCATGACCACTTGAAAACACTGACGTAGTGCTTGACGTATAGCATTCTGGCCATCTGACTAACAGCTCTGGGGGGTTAGATTATAGCTGGAAAGATGTTTAAAATCACTGCGATTCTAAGCCAATTTTCAGAGCTTAGATTGAGTACTCTCTGCAAAGTTGTTATGGTGCTTCGTCACCCTTTAAGCTTACTTGCTGCATAGCACTTTATATCACTTTTATAAAGTGTCAAGGTTGTTTTAATAGTGATAAAGTGCAGTTACAGGTTAAATGGACGTTAAATAAGCAAACAAAAGTATGTGAGGCATGGAGTAAAGCTTGTTAGCTTGCCTCTATGAGTTGGTGACCACACGGGAACACCTCAAACAAGCTTTAGCTCTTCACACATATGTTTCTTATCTTGATAAAATAGCCATATTGCACTATTCATTGTTCACATAGGTTTTGAAGCCTGCCTCTCTTGTTCTCACTGCACAGTTATCTATGGCAAATGCATTCATCAGCAGAATATGGTCTGCGGCTTTTGACAAAAAAAAAAAGAAAATATTATAAATCTTTTTCTTCCCTCCCCCCTTTTGGATATCTATAACAGATAGAAATGACTGGAATTTAGGAATCTCTTGCCAGATGGATTATATGGTTGTCATGGAAACAGAGTTGGGCCATAAATATGGCCCTGCCTATGGTGCCTCTGTCACATTCAAGCAGCCTTTAAAAATTATATTTAACCCTTTATGGATGCAGAAGAAGACCTTGTATAATTTTTGTTATTAGATCTGTGCCAAAATCTGTAATGTGTGAGTCATCCTTTGCACACACACACACACTACAAATACATGTTCAATCAACCTGGCCGAAGACCACTGCATACATGCATAAACATAGAGGGGAACTGGCACCACATATCAACACAAACACACTGTAGAGGGTCACAGTATTACACTGTGTGCAGAGTACTAAACACATCAATGGATCACCTTCTGAGAGCCACTGTATAGACACACTGGAAGGGTTAGCTCAGACAGAGAGCTTCCGAACAGAGCCTGGCAGACCGTTATAAAACAGTTTGTCTACTTACAGTGGGGCTGCTACAGGGTATTCCCTGCACCATAACCACTACATGGTGCTCTGTCCATGTAAGCCAAGTTACAGCAAAGATGTATACACACTTATGAGATGAAGTGGTCTGGGTGTCTATGGAGTCCCTTGAGGTTACAAAACTGCATGGAGATGAAGTGATCTGGGTGCCTTTTGTGGTTATTTAACATTTGGTTATAAAATATGTTTGTGGAAATGTTGACCAGAATATGCCCCAGTAGCTATTAAACAAAAACAGTTAAGTTGCACACACCAAGAAAAAGTGTCAAAATTGTGTTCAGATTGGAGATGTGGGTTTAAAAACAAAAATCACTTTTTAAGCTTTACTATAACACTCACTGGCTTGGACACCATTAATTTTCCGCACTCCCTTCGCCAACTCCCCTCTTTAAGCAGTGCATATCAGGCTCTTGTTAAAGGTCAAAACAGTTGGACATGCTGACTTCTAGGATACAGAACAACAACGACTAGAGGGAAGATAATTAAAGGACCACTATAGGCACCCAGACCACTTCAGCTTAATGAAGTGGTCTGGGTGCCAGGTCCAGCTAGGGTTAACCCTTATTTTTATAAACATAGCAGTTTCAGAGAAACTGATATGTTTATGTTTGGGGTAATCCAGCCTCCAGTGGCTGTCTCTTGACAGCCGCTAGAGGCGCTTGCGTGCTTCTCACTGTGAAAATCACAGTAAGAAGACGCCAGTGTCCATAGGAAAGCATTCACAATGGCTGAATGCGCGCGCAGCTCTTGCCGCACATGCACATTCAGCAGAAAAGGAGAAGAGGGAGGAGAGGAGGAGGAGAGCTCCCTGCCCGGCGCTGGAGAAAGAGGTAAGTTTAACCCCTTCCTCTCCATCCAGCCCGGCGGGAGGGGAACCCTGAGGGTGGGGGTACCCTCAGGGCACTAGAGTGCCAGAAAAACTAGTATTTTTTCCTGGCACTATAGTGGTCTTTTAACATTACCTCTGATTAAATGACTAGGGAAATTTCAGCACTGCAAAGTAGGATATATTAATATTTGCTATAACCTGCCAAATGGCAGGTTTAAAATGGGAAAGAAGTAGGTATATCTATGACGCAGTTGGTTTTCCAGATAAGGCAGGAGTATAAAGGCCAGGAGTGTCATTGCGAAAGTCTTATACGCTAAGTGCTGCTGAAGTGTTTGGTATGAGCCTGTATTCCCTGTATTTTATTAGAAATGCGCACAAGTGCATTTTAACATAGAGTGGTTGTTTGTGAGGTGATCAGGAGGACTTTTAAGAAATGTATGTGTCACAAAAAATAGTGCGTGATTTTTAACCGTTTGTGTGCTATGCTACAATATACCAAAAGTTAATATTTCATGATTTTACTTTTAAATATCAAAACCTTGCCATTAGTAAGAATTTTATCTATTCCTTTTTAATTTTTGTTCATTATTCATTCAATTTTTTTTGTACTGAAATTAGTTTTCTTTTTGTTATTGTTTTGCTTTCTTGCTATTACTTAAAATGTAATTTCCAAAAAGACCTTTTCCTTCGATGTATTATGCACTAGTCTGTGCCGTCACACGAGAGCTAATGTTGTTTTATTTGTGTCGTCCTTTTAGGTTGAAACCGATGAGTCGCAAAGTGATCATGGATATGTTTTCTGATCAGAATTTCCAGTCAAATGGCAGCAATGGAACGTAACACACTGTGCGACGTACTAACATGCTTTGAGAAAGTCTTTTGCTTTCACAATAATGTTTTTTTCAGCAATGCCAGCTCATCCCGTCACCTCTTATAGCACACATATGGTCTACGAAAATGGTTACACAAACCTAACAACGCCTCAGCCTACATTTCGTGGTAACTTGGATCTACTGCCAAAGTATAGTCCAGTTGCCATGACTACAACTGAGATTAGTCCTTTACAAGTGAATGCTTCTACAACTCCATCAGCGCAAGATGTAGCCAGCACTTTGAGTTTACCCCTTCAGATCATACTTTCTTCTGTAATGATAATTATACTTTTACTTTCCTTCCTTGGGAACTTTGTAGTGTGTCTCATGGTCTACCAGAAAGCTGCTATGCGATCTGCGATTAACATATTGCTTGCCAGCCTGGCTTTTGCCGACTTGTTGCTTTCTATCCTGAACATGCCCTTTGCTTTAGTGACCATTATCATCACCGAATGGATTTTTGGTGATATTTTCTGCAGAGTTTCCGCCATGTTCTTCTGGTTGTTTGTGATGGAAGGTGTTGCCATCTTGCTCATAATAAGCATAGACCGATTTCTCATCATTGTTCAAAAACAAGACAAACTAAATCCTTACCGCGCAAAGATTCTCATTGTGATTTCATGGGCCACCTCTTTGTGTGTAGCCTTTCCACTAGCCATTGGGAACCCACCCTTACAAATACCCTCCCGAGCACCCCAGTGTGTATTCGGCTACACCACGAATGCTGGTTACAAAGCTTATGTGATTCTATTGGTTTTAATTTTCTTCTTTATTCCTTTCATGGTGATGCTGTATGCTTTCATGGGCATATTAAACACTGTGCGCCACAATGCAGTTCGTATACATAGCCATCCAGACAGCATATGCCTCAGCCAGGCTAGCAAGTTAGGTCTTATGAGCCTCCAACGGCCTTTTCAAATGAACATTGACATCAGCTTTAAAACTCGTGCCTTCACTACCATTTTAATTTTGTTTGTAGTCTTTATAGTCTGCTGGGCACCCTTCACTACTTACAGCCTTGTTGCTACATTTAACAGTAACTTCTATAACAAGCACAACTTTTTTGAGATTAGCACATGGCTGCTTTGGCTATGCTACCTCAAGTCTGCACTAAATCCAATAATCTACTATTGGAGAATAAAAAAATTCCGTGATGCATGCTTGGATCTCATGCCCAAGTACTTTAAGTTTTTACCACAATTACCTGGTCACACAAAGAGACGAATCCGGCCTAGTGCCATATACGTATGTGGAGAACACAGATCTGTAGTATGAAAATATTTAGAAGTTCATTCTTAAGGGGACTGCCATGAACTTTACCATTTGTATATGAACTATTTCCTCTGTGCAAAACGTGATGAATAAAAATCTCTGCCAGGAAGCAATGTAAATTTAAAAAAAACAAAAAAACATGTTACCTCTAGGATTTAAGGAAAATCCTTATTTGAGAAATACGTTGTCAGGTTTATGCTTACCAGACCTGTCTTTCCTGTAATCACAGGCACTTTGTATGCTGCTAAAATTTGGTGGATGTGTTATTTTGTTTTCTTCTGAATCAAATGTTTTGCTGCTTTTTGCTATAATAGTTGAGCCAAAAAAGTCATGTAGCTGAGATTTACAGGAGATATATATATAAAATTATTATTTTATTTTTTTCTTTAAAGTATTTCTTCAACATTGATAGTGGTGAGTTGATCAGTCAGCCCATCGATACTGATGTCATAAACTCAGTTTCTTCACATTTGGATTAACTACAATTATATCCAAAGATTTATTGGAGTTGTAGCTCTTCCACAGGCTAGAGAAGGGAATACTTAAACTTTACCAACTGCTTTAATTCTTTTTTGTGTGTGTGTGTGTATAGAGTTCCACAATATTCTGAAATTCGACTTCGAGTATATCCAGTTTCTTTTACATTACTTCAGGATAAGTAAAATGTTTTGTGCACTTTAAAAGAGTTTATAAAAATATATATTTTTTCTTTTAATGTTTTAGAGCAGAGGAAACTATTAAAACTGAAGAACATAATTTTTGATACATAAATGTAATTATATCAACAGATGTACAGCTCTGTGGTGGGTTTATGTGCAATCTAAAATTGCAGACATTATAATCAGGGCATGTGCTATGTCTGTCTATCTAGCTATCTATCCATCCACACACACATGTATATATTCTTTTGTAAATGGGAAGATCTTTGGTGTCCACAATATATTTTCCTGGAATAATATTTTCCGATTTATTTCACACCAAGCAGGTAATGAAGTTCTAAATTCCACAAGTTATGTCATATATTTTTGGCCAGAAGTGGCATTCTCTCAAGAAATCTAGTATGCATTTACTTTAACATTCATTAGCAGGTTATCCCCCGTGCAATATAAAGCACTGTTAGAAGGACAGCATGGATTTACAAGACTCTGTGCCTTTCTTTCACCTTATGCTTACTGACACATAAACGTTCAATTGCAAACCTAACTTCCTTAACCCAATTTTTATCTTTGGGAACTCTAGTCTGGTGGCAGTAGGGTAAGTATCAAACCCAAATGTCTGTGCCTTATTTTGTTCACTCACAATTAGAAAGGAGAAAATGTTGGCTAATACATATGTCTCCTTCCGTGTCTGGCATACATACGTATCACATCGCTTGGTACCACCTTTTCACATCGTTATCCTTTAATTCAGGAATGCCCAAAAGGTATATCCCCTGATTTTGTAGAACTACAACTCCTGTGGTGCTTTGCATCTATTTGGAACGCATTTTGAATGGCAAAGCATCATGGAAGCTGTAGTTTTTAAATGTATGGGGATCTACCTTGTGGACACACTGATTTACTATTATGTCAGCATTATTGGGCTCACATTTTCATCCACATATTTTTGGAGTCTTGTCCATCTCTGCAAAGTTTTCTTCTACATATCACTGTTTAAATATATTTAATTTTTTATCCTACTATGTCGACATATAAAGAGTAGCGGAAAATAAAGCCAAGGGTTGCTTGCAAAAGAAGGGAAACAGGAATGTAGCAGAGGAAGCCAAAAAATACCTGGACAGCTGACAAGTACTCACAACACAACTAGTCTGTCATCAACTTGTGAAACATTGCAGGCCAGTTAAATGCTCAGTAATACCCATAGCCCAATTACCTAGATACTTTTGTTCAGATTAGGAATATCCCTACATAAAATGCACTTCTGCTGATTTACAAAATTTAAAAGTTTCTTTAACAGAGAAAATATAGTTCAGGCTACATTTATAAGTGCATGTTCTCAGATCATGCATATTTTCATTAAAGAGACACTATAGTCACCAAAACAACTTTAACTTGATAAAACAGTTTTTGGTGTATAGACCATGTCCTTGCAGTCGTATTGCAAAATGTTGTGCTATATAGGAGTTAAATCACTTAATGCATGCCTAGTTACACCTCCTTGCATGTGACTTGCACAGCCTTCCTAAACACTCATGTACCCAGAACATACTTGAAAATGAGAGAAATCTCAATGTATCCTTCCTGGTAAAACATTTTATTAAAAAAAAAAAAAAGAGTTCTCTAATGTTTACACTTCCTTTAATCTGTTTCTTATCTCAATAGCTTGCTAGACCTTGCTATATTAATAGCTTGCTAGACCTTGCTCCTGGGTGCAATTAAAGTTCAGTTTACAAAGCAGGGGATAAAGACCTCTAAAGTAAGTTAACACCTGATTGAAAATTCATTTCCCGTGCAGGCTGTGTGAATCACAGGAAAGGGAAGTTTAGGGATGCATGGACAAAAACAAGAGTGATTTCAATCCTAAATGGCAGATAATTGAGCAGTGAGATTTTAGTTTAGAGGCATGATCTATAAAGTTACACTCCCAACTGAATGTGACTCCTGTTTCTAAATGCACAATATAAATATATAATGCATAAATGCAACAATAATTAAATAATAGAAAATAAAACACTACCCAAGGTATCCACTCTTTAAAATGCCAGCATGTGCTTGGTTTCTTGCCTTTACAGCGATTTCTGTCCAGGCCAGGAAGTAGGTCAGCCAGTAGGAATGCTTTTATGCTCTCTAAGCAAGCCTGGATCTATCTCATAAATCACTGCCCAGCAGCCAAATAATGTGCAGACATCCCACAATTCTTGGTATACACCTTAATGCTAGAGTTTGTGGAATGACGATCACATCATTTGAAGGTGAAGGGAACTTTCCTTGTGCAGCTGTTCTGCCCATTGTGTGTGGAGCTGCTGTGTCAGTTTTCATACCCCACAGTGGATGAAGGACAGGTAAATCTGGTAAGTATTTAGTTTAATCTATATGCATGCTGGTAATCTCTCCAGCATAGTGTGTAGTTTAAAAATATATCACCTGAATGTAAAAATTGATTTTAATCCCATATGCTTTTACTGTGTGTCATAAATCCTTGAAAAGTGTTTACAATATTTTTTTTAATACAATTGTATTCAAATAACTAAAAATTAATAGATAGCACATGGATCTTGAAGCTTTTAAATACTACTAGTCCAATGCGGACAATCAATTCTGCTTGTACACACGCTGCTGATGTAAAAGAAGAATTATATAGAAATAACTGTGAAATATTAGATATGTATGTCTTAAAATTAGGTGGTGCCCTGATTATAATTTTTTTTTTTTTTTTTCACACCACTGGATGCTTACTTTGGACAAAGTATTTATTGTGATTTGTACCCCATACTGGGTAAATAATACAAATTGTAATGTATTCATTCAAAGCTATTTGGTTTATTGTAAAAAAATATATAATAATAATTATGTTTACTTCTATGTAAAATATAAATGCTTGTCATGAACAAGAATATGTACATAAAAGTAATGGAATGCTGTATGAATGTTTTAGAGGGGAGTTCAGTTAGTTAGGGTTGCTTTTTTTTAAAAATTATTATTAATAGCTGTTTTTCAATAATGAATTCAATGACTTGAAAACCTGTTCGGTTATCTGCTTTGTTTGCCACTTCCAGAACCTAGTTATTGGGTGATGAATACCTTTCTTTTACCCGGACCAGCTTCTGCGTCCTAGCTTTTTTTTTAGTGTTAAAGCACAAATAAAATACCGACTTAAAGTGACCTGTGTTCCTTAGACCATAACCCAGGCTTGCTTTTATTTTTAATGTCCCTGGGCTTGAAATTGTGTTTATTTTATTTTTTTATTAATAAATGTATGGACTGTGGTATAGTGATTGACTCTTCGGACACAATGTACCTTAACTTCTTTGCACTCCACATTTTATCCGACTAGTGTACATTTCTAATAAATATGGTAACATATTATCTCAGGATATCTCATCTCAGACAATAGTTGTAAGTCACCAAGCCAAGTGTTACGTAATGATTTATACATAATATTTGTTGATGTTTGGTAAAATCAGTAGGGCTACATCAGTAACAGATACAAAAAAGTCTGTACTAAGCCACTTTAAAAAAACTCAAGTTATTGCCAGCAAACATGAACTAAGCATTCATTGCGGTACCTTCTGTTGGTTCTTAATATAGCTCATCTTAAGTTCCTTTCAGATATCTAATTAAAATTTGTGGATCGACATTTTATGACCTATACGTATGGTGACCATCCTATAGATTGCCACATTTTACTAGAAATGTATGATTTCTGCATTGAGTGGGGCAGAGCGTGAAAGTGCTCTCCCATCGACTTGTGGAATTCATATGCACCTAGTGTGAAAGAACGAAATTAAAGGGACACTGTAGGCACCACAACCACTTGACATCATTAAAATAGTTATAGTGTCTGGATTTCCTTGGTGTCATTTACCTGCTCAGTGTTAAACTATTTTTGAATGGTTTATCATTTGGTATAAAATGAAAGGAGGGTCCCAAAGTGAATGCAGTGTGTGTAGTGTGTGTGTAAAGTAAATGTAGTGTGTGTGTGTATAGTGAATGCAGTGTGTTTGTGTAGTGTGTTTGTGTAGTGTGTGTATAATAATGCAGAGTGTGTGTGTGTGTTTGTGTAGTGTGTGTATAGTGAATGCAGTGTATTTGTGTAGTGTGTGTGTATATAATGCAGAGTGTATGTGTGTGTTTCTGTAAGTATGTAATTTGTGTAAAATGGGGGGGGGCTTTTTTTTTTTTAATATTAAATAATTTTTAGTCTCCCCTCCCTGCTTCTTACTTAGCCAGGGGTGGGGGGGAGAAGGGGGGTTGGCATTCCCTGGTGGTCCAGTGGCATGGACTGTGCAGTGGGGGCCCAGCAAGCTCTTACTTACCTTCCCAGCAGCTTCCTTTAGCTCCCCTGTGTAAATCTTCCGGCCTGTGTGCTGCACAGAACGTTGCCATGGTAACCCGTGGCAATGCTCTGACGGCCGCTGTACTTGCGAGATTTAGACAGAGGAGCTGCTGGGAAGATAAGTAAGAGTTTTCTGCAGGCCCTTCAAGACCGCCGGGCTTGTGATGGGCCCGGCGGTCCTGGTATGTATTATCGGCAATATCGGTATCTCTATAGGCCGATACCTTTATTGCCGAAAATACCGAATATCGGCCGATAATATCGGTCAGACAGATTATTGGTTGATCCCTATAGCCGAGTTACTAGTTGATCCCTATAGCCGAGTTACTATTTAACAGATACATTTTCCTACTTTAGGAAAAAGAAAGATGCTGCTAAGGTAGAGCATTTTTTATGTAGTTTGGGCGTTGCACTAAGTGTCTTAGGGTTAGGGGCACTTATGACTGCTGTTCCCTGGCCTAAACTTGAACAAACCAATGCTGTTTGTCAACCATTTAGTGTTTTAGTAATTAGAATAAGTTGTCCAAGGCATTCTGGCAATTCAACTAGATGTCACTTAAATTAAAGATGCATTCAACAATGCTGCAGTACAGTATACATTTTCCATAAATATCCATAGTAAAATGAAATATATAACACTATTTTGGGCCCATCTTATCAAGGGACACTCTAACCACATTAAAGGAACACTATAGGGCCAGGAACACTAACGTATTCCTGACCCAATAGTGTTAAATCCGCCATCTAGCCACCCTGGTCCACTTGGCTCCCTAAATATAGTAAATTAATCAATGCATTTCTATGAAAAAAGCTCAGTGCCTGCATGCAGAGGGTGGAGACACTGAATGGCAGTACTCCACAGTGTGCAGCACTGCCCCAGGATGCACCTCTAGTAGCCATCTGAGGAGTGACCAGTGGAGTTATCCCTAGTGCTGTAATGTAAACACTGCATTTTCTCTGAAAAGACAGTGTTTGCTGCAAAAAGCCTGAAGAGAATGATTATACTCACCAGAACAAATACAATAAGCTGTAGTTGTCATGGTGACTATAGTGTCCCTTTAAGTTGTAGTGGTTCTGAGAAAGGGCATTGTTTGTACTACTGCCTAACTCCACCACTATTGGCTTTCTCTCTGATAGCTAATAAAGGGACTTATGGGCAAAGATTGAAGACCTTTGTTCGTCTTGTCCCCGCTCTGCATGGAGATGTCAGACACTCCCCAATGCATTTCTATGAGGAGGTGCTAATTAGCACACATCCCTGTTGGGAAGCATTGGATTGTCTGAGGTCATCATTAGTTATGTTCTCAATTGGGGAAAAGCGGTGGCTGCGGCAATACCAGTGCACTGGATGACTATAGGTAAGTAAGGCATTTTATTTTATGACATACAGGGATGGCTCTTAATCTATATAGATAGCTTAACATGTTTACATTCCTAATGGGAGTGTTCCTTTAAATACAGAGAAATATGAACCAATTTGCTAAAGTGGACTGTAAATAGTATAACATTTTATTAAAGGAGGAATTTTGCTTAAAATATATGGAAAAAAATCAGTGCACCTAGCATTGCATTTTTATTTTTTTTTTTGTTGCTAGCTATTTATTTTGTGACACATTAATAAAAACAGATGTTCATATCAAATTCTCTAAACAAATTCTTGCCATGGTTTCAGATTTCATCCATTTCATATGAGCTGCGATGACTGTTTCGCCAAATCAGAGTTCCTCGTTTGTAGCATATTGCTTATGGTCATCTAAGTAGAAAACTTTTTATGTAAAAAAAAAAAGTTGACTTCTTATTTACTGATGAAAACAAAGGCAAAATGTAATTTTACAATAAAATTGCAACATCCCTTAAAATTATTTTCAGAAGGAAATTCCTCCACTTTTTACCTTTGCTTTCTTTTTTTACTTTGTTTTTTTTGGTATCATTTAACAAGTAATAAAATGAACCATATCTTCTGTAGATTGTTTTTATTATAACTACTATGAATTTTATGTATAAATCGTATACATACCACACAGTGGTATGTTTTAAATGCTCATTTGTAGATGAGAATCCATATTCCAATTTATTTTAGGAAAATTAATGTGTCAGCACAGCTTAAAAAAATTATTTATCTTTTCACCAAGATTCCAATTTGTACACAATGATATTTTGTATTCTTTGAATAAAGTTATTCATGTGATGTCATTTTTTTTTCTTACCTCACTAGTCCTTAATAAAATATAGTGATGTCGCGAACCGTTCGCGAACTTGCCGCGAACGGTTTGCCGCGGGTTCGTGGCGAACTCCGGTCAGCTGACACATCCCTGCCAATCTCCGGCAGACCATCCTACTTCCTGGACAGCATCCATGTTGAAGGCAGCTTCAACATGGATGCTGTCCAGGAGGTGGGAGGGTCTGCCGGAGATTGGCAGGGATATGTCAGCTGACAGGAGTTCGCTGCGAATCGTGGCGAACCGTTCGCAGCAAGTTCGCGAACGGTTCGCGACATCACTAATAAAATATACTTAAAGAGACACTCCAAAAAATATAAAATAAATTAAAGCACCTTTTAATAGATGTGCCCTAAATTAAAACTTGCATGCATTGAAGTATTTTCCATTGGGGGAATATATAACAGCTTGCAAAACATGCAGTTCTCTTGTCTGATACCTTTACAAGCCCTCCCCTTCTGACCCTGCCCAGACTTTATGTGGCTGTCCAAGCAGAGAATTCCCAATGCAGCTCAATAAGACGTCTTTGAAAGGCAGCCCAGTGGAGCTAAACTCAAGAGGCAGCAAGGCAATTTGGTAAGCCCAGTTTAGCTCCACTGGGCTTATCAAACAAGGAAGTATGTTTACCTGTTGTCTACTTAAATGTCAAGGGATTTAACCAGGTTAATTTATAAAAGTGTCAGTTTTTAATAAAATCTGCACTTTTTTGCAAAATGAAAAGCGGACACGCTTTTCAGAAAGCTAAAGTGTATTAGGGGTCTGGAGTGTCCTTTTAAACATCTGCAGTAAACTAGGTAATTATTAACATACATTGATCCAATGTTGAACATAACAAATAGCATTGTTCATATAGGATCAGAATGAGTTGGTAAAATGAAATATTTTAGCACATTAAAAGATATAGGAAGGAAGGTGTTAAAATGCCTCAGTACATCATTTAAAATTGATGGGACTTGTAGATAAATGTATTATTTTAATTCTCTATAATGTCATATTTAAAGTTTATTTTGTCATATATAAAAGCTGTAGCACTGGAAAATTAAAATAAATCTCTCTAAAATGCAATGTGCAAGTGCTGCTGCTATACACATTCTAACGTGAACACACTACAAGCTTCAATAAAGATGCATGCCCATTCAGCAACAACCATGCATTCGCCATTTACATTACTGCTGAGGAAACATGCTTGCTCCATCCATAATTGAAGGGTAAAAGAAAACAAATCCTATGCATATTAATAATTGCAACTTCTGGGGATGGTGTCACCTTTGATCTGAGCTATTGCAGGTGATGCTACTACGTAAGTATTGACATAGATGTCTATGGGGTTTAAGTGTAACGAGTGTTGCTTTTTTACATTCACACTGCTTTGGTGTACATGCGCCATTTTCTTTGGTATTAAACTGTTACTCCACCTTTTACGCACTGTTTTTTTTGTTTGTTTGTTTTTTATTCCTGTATCTTTCCTTCCATTTTTCTCCCTATTTTCTTTGGCACTGTTTACCTTTTTTTGTGTAAGGATGATCTATAGCATTATAATAGTTTTGTGTTCAAAAAGGTGCCCCAAGCACCATGACGATTTCATTGATTTGAAGTGGTTATAGTGCCTGGATAATGTATAAAGCAGTATTTTTCTTTGAAGCTCATTCAGAGTTTAACCCCTTACATGCAGGAAGCATAACTCTGCCTCTATTGTTAACCAGCCCAACAAAGTTCCAGACTGGCTAATATACAGATATGTCCGGAAACATTTGGACACTGACGTTTTGTTATTTCAGCTGTTTACCATAATAAGGTCAAGTTACAGTTAAATAATGAATATTGGCTTAAAGTGCCCTCTCTCAGATTTGAGGGTATCCACATCCAAATTGAAGGAGGGCTTTAGGAAGAGCTCTTTAATATGTAGCCCCCTCAGTGGATCAAAAGTAAGGTCTGGAATTGATCCCAGGTGTGGCATTTGCATTTGGAAACTGTTGCTGTGAACCCACAACATGTGGTCAAAGAAGCTCTTAATGCAAGTGAAACAGGCCATCCTTAGGCTACAAAAAACAAAATTCATAGCAGGAACATTACTAGTGGCCAAATCAACAGTTTGGTACATTCTGAGAAAAAACAAAAAGAATGTACTGGTGAGCTCTGCATCACAAAAAGGCTTGGACGTCCACGGAAAAAAACAGTGGTGGATGAACATAGGATCCTTTCATGGTAAAGAAAATCCCCTTTATAACATCCAGCCAAGAGAAGGACACTCTCCAGGAGCTAGTTATATCATTATCCAAGTCCATCATAAAGACAGAGAGCAGTGCCCATTAAAGGGCAAAAATGTGAAGTTTTTGATGGCCAAGGAGCTCCCGACCACTAGCTCACCAACCTGCTATTACCAGAGCCTGGACACGAGCCAAAATCACTCCAGGGTGCTCCTAAGATACACCAGACCCCCATGGGTAGGAAAGCTAAAAAATAAAACCCCGACCGGGCTTGAATACCGGGGAACTATGGAGGCAGGCCCACGAGGCTTCAGGCGCAAAGATGGCATCACAGAGGATGCTCGGATTTCTCTGATGGGACATCCGATGAAGCTGAGGAGAGCCCTCTACTGGCAGCGAGTGCACAGCCACCCGCGCAAGTACCCACACCGGTGACTATGGAGGCCATTGGTAAGCTAATGGCGGATCACCACGGAAAATTTCAGCCGAAGTGGCCACGATCTGGGAGGACCTAAAAAGCTTCTCAACTCGGCTTGGAGCAGTGGAGAGTACCTCCAGCACCCACACGAGCCAAATCGCAGAACTACAGGCCGCAGTCCAAGGTCTGAGACGACAAGCCATGCTTCATGACCAGCAACTAGCCACACAGGAAGATAAGCAACGCCTAAATCATCTGAAAATAAGAGGTGTCTCCGACTCTGTCCCGGAGGCTGAGCTCCCACACTTTGCCAGGCGGCTCCTTACCATGCTACTTACACCAAAAGCGGCCAAAGCAATCACGCTTGATGGGATCTTCCGCATACTGCGGCCAGCTAAAGCACCACCTGCAGCCACCGGAGACATAGTACTCCGCTTTCAAAACTCAAAGGACAAAAAGGCAGTCAAGGAAGCCACCAAGGGTCAACAGACTTACCCCTTTAAAAAAATGACACTGTCTTTTTACTCCGACGCCTGGAGACGGTCCTTTAAACAATACACCTCCCTCCTGCGACAACATCAAATCAGGTACCGGTGGGGACCAGGTCGTACCCTACAGATCGATGGAACAGGAAGCCCACTGACAATACCCAACGAATAGGAGGGCGCGGGAACCCTGCTGCTGTGGCAGTGTAAGATTGATTGATTGTTCATTTTGCACAACAAAAATAAAGAATATAAAAAAAATAAAATAAAGACAGAGAGCAAATACAAAAGGTTCACCACAATGTTCAAACCATTCATAAGCCTCAAGAGTAGAAAGGAGATTAGACTTTGCCAAAAAAAATAAAATCTAAAAAAGCCAGCTCAGTTATCAGCTTTCTTTGGACCGTGAAACTATATCAACCTGTACCAGAATGATAGGAAGAAAATAGTATTGAGAATGATTGGAACGGCTCATAATCTGAAATATACCGCATAATCTGTTGGAGGCTGTGTGATGGCATGGGCATGCATGGCTTCAAATGGCACTGGGTTACTAGTGTTTTTTGATGATGTGACAGAAGACAGGCAGCTGGATGAATTCTGAAGTGTATCGGGATATATTGTTTGCTCAGATTCTGCCAAATTCAGCAAAGTTGATCAAATAGTGCTTCACTTTACAGATGGACAATGATCCAAAACATACCCAAGAGTGTTTAAGGAAAAGAAGTGGAATATTCTGCAGTGGCCGAGTTAATCACCTGATCTCAACTTGATCGAGTATGCATTTCACTTGCCAAAGACAAAACGTAAGATAGAAAGACACATGAACAAACATCAACTGAAGACAGTTGCAGTAAAGGCCTAGCAAAGCATCACAAAGAAGAAAACCTAGCATTTGGTGATGTCCATGCGTTCCAGACTTTCAGCAGTCATTACTTGCAAGGGAGTCTAAACAAGGTATAAAAAATGTACATTTTATTTATGATTGTGTTCATTTGTCAAATTACATTTGAGCCACTGAAATTGTGTATTTAACGGTTGCAATTCCTAAATGTTCCATACAATATTTTTGTTCAACCCCTTGAATTGAAGCTGAAATTCTGTACTTCAAATGCATCTTAGTTGTTTTATTTCAAATCCATTGTGGTGGCATAGAGAGCCAAAATTATGAAAATTATGTCAGTGTCCAAATATTTCCAGACCTTATTGTAAATTCTGTGCAAAAGTAGCGTCTACTGACAGCACACACAGTATGTTGACTCCAGACAGCAAATGACAGCACTCTTCTCCCCCTTACCCTCCATGCTGCCCCTGTCCTCCCCTCAGTCCATCTACCCTGACCTCCCTGAGAGTGACGTCAGGCAAAAAGGATCATGAACGTCTTGGTACTGGAACAAAAGTGTATCTTTTTTAAAATGTATTTATTTTTTATATATTGGGGTGGCTGGACTGCCTCAGAAAGCAAAACCAGTGTTGTATGAAACCATTTGTTTGTGGATGGAGTAATCCTTTAAGATTCCTATTCCAAAATGATAAGTCTCACTCATTTAAAGGACCACTCTAGGCACCCAGACCACTTCAGCTTAATGAAGTGGTCTGGGTGCCAGGTCCTTCTAGGGTTAACCCATTTTTTCATAATTATAGCAGTTTCAGAGAAACTGCTATAATTATGAATGGGTTAAGCCTTCCCCCTAATCCTCTAGTGGCTGTCTCATTGACAGCCACTAGAGGCGATTGCGTGCTTCTCACTGTGATTTTCACAGTGAGAGCACGCCAGCGTCCATAGGAAAGCATTGTAAATGCGTGCGC